TGATAGCAGGAATTGAAAACAGCTCTCAGGGAAGGGTAACACATGGGAGGCAGGGTGATGAGATGGGATAACATGAGCTAGGAGGCTGTCAGACCAGGGTTTACATCTTGGCTCAGCCTCAGGCAAGTTACATAACCACCCTGGTTGCATTTCTTCCTTTTTTCTTATTTTGTTTGTTTATTGCTGAAATGGGAATAGGACTTTGTAGGGCTGTTGAGAGACTTCATTTTGATAATGCTTATAAAGGATTCAGTGTGATGCCTGGTACATAGCAGCTCAGAGAGTGTTACTATCACTCTTGTTATTGTTGCTGTTGTTAATTATTATGGTGTTATTAACTGTACAGAAATTCTGAGGAAGTCTCCTGGCACCCTATAGATACACAGACTAAATCTGTAACTATTTCCTAAAATTATTTCTTTATTCATAATAATGTGAGAACTAAAAGATCAAAATGTGGGTCCAAGAAGCAAGAATATGTTTAAGGGGGAAAATCAAATGCAACTTTTGATTTCTCTTTAGGAAGGGAAGAAACAGCACCAAATTCCTTCAACTTCCTCCTCTTTAAATCTTGAAGCCAAGGTTATCCAATGAATTGCAGTCCCAGCAGCCAGGGTGAGGGGTTTTGTCCAGCAAGCCATCTGCACAGTCTATGTGACTCCTGGCTCCAGGCAGACTTTGTCTGCACCCTTTACTTCCATCAAGCAAAGGTAGGATCCCTTTATTCCTCACGCAGTTGCCCTCAGGAAAAAATACATATATTTTTTCTCCTTCATTGCTTCTAAGCTTCTAAAGTATGGTTGATGACAAAAAGCAAAGTGCTAGGATGGTTTACACAAAAAGGGGACAGAACAAAGAAAATACACACACACACACACACACACACAGAAAAACAAATCAACCAGAAAAAGGGGAAAAAAGAGCAGAATAAAAGAGAGAAGAGATGGCTTATAATGATCTCCAAGTCTTGGATTTACTATATGGTGGAAGGTGACCAAGTGTTCTCCAATATTTATTGAGGACATAATAAAAAAGTAAAACTTAAGTACCACACAGGGATTTGGGTTGGTGGAAGCAGCAGTTGTAAAAGTATGATTCATAAACTTTCTCTAGGAGAAATATGTTTGAAATGCAAGTCCCACATTTTAATAGTCTGTTTTTCTCTATGTGTTTGCATATGAAAATGCAGATACTGACACTTAAACTGTAAATCACATGATCATAATCTATGTACACTTGTGCACAAGGTCCCTAAGTTTTGTCACTGTAGTGAGCACAGAACAAAGGTCTGAAAGGCTGTATTAGACACGAAAGACTATGTTATGCTGTGTAACAAACAAGTCCAAAACTTGTTGTGAATTATAGCAAGAAAGGTCTATTGCTCACTCATGCTGCATATCCATCAACGGTAGACAGGCACCTCTGGTTATTAGTTATTTTGTTCATGTCCCCTCACCTGGGGACTCAGGCTTACACAGCCTCCATAATCCGGTTGCTAGCTTTTACAGTAAGTCACACACTGGTTCTTATGGACTGCCCACTTCACTTCTTCCCACACGGCATTGAACATAGCAAGTCATCTGGCCACAGGAAAATGAGATTATACCTTGTACTTGAGAGGAAGAAAATTGAAATGTCTGCAGACAGCTCAGTGACTACCCAGGGCTTACTAGGAATTCTGACATTTTTTAGTTTTTTAATTTAAATATTTTGTTATTTATACTATGGTTTGGGACCAAAGGAGAGAGCCTCCTGTTTTCCTGTGTAGTGCCAGCTGGTTTCACAAGGAGACTTAACTCTGTGCCTTGGGATTCCTTAATATTAGGCCCTAAGACTGAGGCATGACAGCAAACTAAGAATATCTGCCAACTTAATTCTAGCCACATTTGGGCAAGACTTCATATTCAGACTTTAACTCAGAGTTCCAAACTGCAGTCCAGGTACCAAATATGGCTTGCAGACGTTTTGATGTCTCACATATGATGTTCCAATTTCTTCCCCTTTGCCCCCCCCCCCCGCCTGCCCCACCCCGCTCCCACAGTCAATCCCCATACTGTTGTCCATTTCCATGGGCCATGCATATACGCTCTTTGACTAATCCCTTCATCTTCTTTCAACCAGTCCCCACCTCCCCCCTCACAGCTGTCAGTCTGTTTCATGTTTCAATGCCTCTGGTTCTATTTTGCTCATTAGTTTATTTTGTTCATTAGATTCCACTTATAAGTGATATAATATGGTACTTGTCTTTCACTGACTGGCTTATTTCACTTAGCCTAATAGTCTCTAGTTCCATCCATGCTGTCAAAAGATATAAGAATTCCTTCTTTCATCACTGTCGTGCATAAGTAGTCCATTGTGTAAATGTACCACAGGGGATTTTTTTGTTTGCTTTTTTTTTTTTAATCAACTCACCTACTTGAGAAATTGATCACTTTAAAATGTCAAAAGTCCAAATATCCAAGCAGGACTGCATGTGTACCAACGCCTTGTGCAGATTTCAGTCGACATGTATCTTACACGGCCTACGCCACATGACAGAGTCTACAGGCTATGCTCAAAATCAGTGTTGGTTCTAGCTGGACCCCCTAGTCCAGCGAGATCGATCTAGAGGGGTCCCATGCCTGGCCCCTCTTCTCTCATGGTAAGTTCTATCCCCAGGAACTCCTTCCTCAGTCTCTACAAAACAGGTTTCTATAAATCACTCACAAATATGCCAAGAAATCCCGATTTTCTTAACATCAGCTAAGCTCAAACTGAGACTTTCCTGTGAATCTTTTTTCCTCTCTTTTTAATCCAGCGCACAATACTGAACTTCTGTGTTAAAAAAAAAAAAAAAAGACTGGACTCTCTTTGATGGGTGCATGTATTCAAAGTGTGAATGTGTTTAACATCTCATTCTGCTTTAAATCCTATGATTCCATGGGCAACGATGGGAAAACTGAAGACCAGAGAGGTTACCTAACTCTCTGAAGGTCTCACATTTACTGATAAGCAAAACCGGATTCAAACCCAAACTTGTCTTTCCCAAGGACACTGGCGATTTGGGGTTGGCCAGGGATATATTAAGCTAATGGGAGGGAGACTCCCCACCCACATCTTCACTCATAAGAAAAGGAGGCGAAAACCTGACGCTGACTTAGGGTCTTAGGGCGGGTCACTCAAAGCCTCTTTTCCTTCCTCTCTTTTCCCCGGTCCCTATCGCGGATTCCGCCCCAAGCGTGCCTTGAACTTAACAGCACCCTCAGGAACTACGGCGCGCGGGTAGAGGGGCTGAGCGCTGGGCCCGCCCTCCCCAGCCTCTGGCCCCTGGCCACGCCCGCCTCAGACCCCGCGAGCCCGGCCACGCCCAGCCCCAGCGGAGGTCAGACGCCGACTGCGCTCCGCCGCCATTTCCTGTCCAACTCTGAGCGCTTCAGGTCAGTGGAGCGGGGTGGCCCGGTGTCTGCCCTGGGACCTGATCTTGATCTGACTGTCAGCCTAACAGAAAACGCTGGTTTGGGCCCCCGCAGATGGGACTGTATCGGCTGCGGCCTGGGATCTCCAGGGCAGGCACGGTACTCGTGGACGCTACGGAGAGGTTGCCGAGCAACGGTGCCGTCGGCCCCGCCCCTTCGCGCCGGGTGGGAGGGGTGTCTGGGGCCAACGGATCCCAGGGCTCCCCCTGCACAGCTACCCGTGGCCGCTGCTTCTGTAAAACTTGGAGCGCCAGACGCATCACCTTTCCCTGACCTCGTGCTGTAGTGCGTTCATGGTCCAGGCAGTGCGCGCCCTTTGACCCCTGCCCTGGGAGCAGATGGGCTGGCATCTGCCTGTACCTGTTCTGAGCCTTCTTTTTGCCCATCTTTACCTTGGGCAAGTTAACTCACTTCACTAGGCCTCATTTCCTTGGGGTCCAACACGTCAGAGCTGGAAAGAAGCCTAGTGATCTTTTATTTAAACCACGCATACCCACTCTTGTTTTATAGGTAGGGTGCTTCGTTCGCATTTTCCCCTCAGAGTGTTTATGCTTGGAGCTTTAATTAATCTCCAGGATAACCCTCACAGTTTGTATTGCATTTGCATAGAATGAATGAGGACTGGGGCTCAGAGAGGTTGCGACTTTAGCTGAGGTGTTACAGCTTGTAACTGGTAGAATGTCAGAGATGAAGTAACTCACGTCTTGTTTGTGGCAGATTTCAAATTCCCAGTTACCGGGTCACTATGACTACCAAACCTACTTGTAAGTCAGAATCACCTGGAGAATGTTTACAATGATACATTTCTGAGTACTATTTCAGGTTCACTGACCAACGAGCTCTGGAGTTAAGGCTGAGGAATCTATATTTAACAAGTTTTTGGATGAGTTTTATGGTCTGTGGGTGAACCTTTGGGAACCACTGGGTATGTCATGCACCTTTTCACTGAAACTACTTGGGAGGTCATAAATCTCAAGTAACTGGAGAAGATACACTGTTGCATGGGACCATCAAGTTCTAATCTTTTCAGCCAATTTGTAGCTTCTCTCTACTCCTCAGAAACAAGCCAGATTATATTTCACACAGTTTTGGACATTTGGATGCAAACTGCCCTGTCTCCAGTTGCCTGTTACCCAGCTCGGCCCAAACTTCTGGTAGAGCCAGTCTGTCATGATCAAGTCAAGCGTTAGCATCTTCCTGTATGTCTGGAGGCCTGTCACCTGCTCCCCTCCTGGTCTTCCCACCAGGTGTCTGAAACACAGCAGTTGATGTTGGCTTTGGAGGACCATTTTGCAGAGTGGTTTCCCCAGTGGAGGGAGGACTGGCAGCTTTCTGGAGGTATCACCACAAAAAATGAGTGTTCCTTGGCCTTAACAGCAGTAAAATAGATCACCCTGCTGTTATTCATGACGTCTATAAGCACAAGTCCGTCTTAAAAATAATCACTTGGCTTTTAGTCTTAGAAGGCTAATGAGCCTGACAAATTCTGTTTAGTGTTTCATTATTATTAATTTTCATCATTTATGCTACCTCCCTCAGGGATTCTGTTTCATAATGGCTGATGATCAAGAGAAAGACTTGCAGAAATTTCTTAAAAATGTGGATGAAATCAGTAAGTATCAGTGAATCATAAACAAAGTAAATTCTACTTTAGATTAAGTTATTTCCAGGTTTGCCTGACAGGTTTATGACTCTTAAGGTAAAGAAAGTAATTGAAATTAAACAGAAGGGGTATTGAAAAACAAGTAATATTAGGGCCTGGGGATAATATTTTCTGGCTGTTAATCAGTATCAGAAAAGTTGTTAACCTTCTATTGGAATTCAGGCTGACAGCCATATTTTGCCCTTGGCATATTTTGTCACCTTCCTTGTAGAATGAGATTAAAAGGAGCTTCTGTTTCCCCATAGCTGATGAGCCTAGCTGTTCACTTCGAGATCACTCAGGTGCCCCGTTGATCAGTGTGGGATCCGTCTTGTTTTAGAGTAGAACCATTTCTGTTTTTGAGCTGCAGAGTCAAAATCAAACATCTTTCCTTATGGATTGATGGAATTACATTGGTGGCTCATTGTTAACATACCCCTGTGTCTCTCAAGGCAAGAAGACCCCCTTCCTCAGCTAAGACAGTGGGATCTCAGAGGACATACTCTGATCCCACAGACCACAGTCAAGAGATTCCGAAGCAATCAATTCCTATTTAAACTTCAGGGAGCTTGTTTGAGAATAAAAACAAGCAAACCAACCAACCTTACAAATCTAGTAGACATGTTGAAATTGCTGCTTCTGACAGGTTCTATGGGTCCAAAGACTAAAATAGTTTTAAAAAATAGTTTGGGTAACTTGATAAATAATACATTCATAATTGTTCTTTGTTTTCATCATGGCCCTCTTCTCTCCCTGTCCCTAAATGTTGTTCTGTGGAGTTCTGGCCTTGGCCCACTGCTTATCTTTCTTTTCAGGTGATCTTGTCCAAGCATATGGTTTAACTACCACCTGTTTGTTGATGACTCTCACATCTCAGTTGCCACCTAGCCCTCTTTTCTGAGCTGACTGCCATATCCACTGTGTACTGTACAAACACTGTAAACTTAATGCTTCCGAAATTAAATATCCTCTATCCCCTCCATCCTCCTCTCAAATAAAGCCTCCTCTTACCTTCACCTTCATCCTAGTGTCAGGAGGGGGCTCCACCATCCAGAAATCTGCAAGTCATATCAGACTCCTCCCATCTCTCAGTCCTACAGTCATTCAGCCATCAAATTTGGCCTCTTTCTCCAGCTCCATCCTCCTCCCCAGCCCTCCCTTTGTTCTGGTTCTCTTACTCAGACTATTTCAACAACCCTCTGATTGTTTTTCCTGTCTCCAGGTTTACACTCCCCACAGAGTAATGTATCTGAAATGCAAATCTGACCCAGACACTTCTCTGCTTGGATTCTCTCCGCAGTCACAATACATTTCAAGCTCTCATCAGGACTTAAGTCCTCCCATGACCTCTCCTTACCTCTCACTGCTCTCTCACACTCGTGCAGAAACAAAGTGCTTTTAGTTCTCTAAACATATCCCAATGGCTCATACTATGCAAGATGTGTTTGTTATTCCCTCTGCCTCCCCATCTTCCTTTGCCTGGCTACCTTTCGTTTGTACTCAGAGTTCCTTCAGATACTGCCCAATAGATCTTTCTGTGGTGACAGAACTGTTGTATAATCTGCACTGTCCACCATGGTGACCAGTAGCCACAAGTGGCTACTGAGCATTTGAAATGTGGCTAGTGCTACTCAGGAACTGAATTTCTACTTTTATTTCATTTATAATTCAATTTTTGTAGTTACATTCATTTCTTGGGTTTTTGCTGTGCATTGAATATTCCTAAGCACTGGAGAGCACAGTAACTATAACCAGGAATTACCTTCCTTCATGGTATCTACATTCCAGTCAAGAAAACAGACCCCAAACAAGTAATCTCAAATGTGATGTATGATACAAAGAGAGGCTTGCAAAGTGCAAGAAACTTCAACTCAATTTAGAAAGGCATATTAGTCTGTTTGGGCTGCTGTACAACATATTTTCTCACAGTTCTGGAAGCTAGATATCCAAGAGCAAAGTTTTCTTCAAATTATTCTTTACTAAATATTTACTAAATATTCAGTAAAATTTAGATCAAAATCCTAGAAGTGTCTTGTTTAGAATTTAACAAGCTGATTCCAGAATTCACACAGAAGAGCAAAGAGCTAAGAATAATCAGGTTATAAATTTAAAAAAATAAGACAATTTTGCAGAAAAAGAAGAAGATGGGAGAGCTCTTTCTACAAGATAGTCAAGGTTTATTATAAGGTGATAGTAATTATGCATGGAAATTTGGTCCTGGAAAAGTCAAGTAATGCAGTAGAGTGGAAGGAAGAGACTAGAGCAGATTCATGCAAGTAGCTTCATGCCTGTAACAGGGATAGCACAGCACATCAGTGGGGAAAGCAAGGGCTCTTCAACGAGTGGTGCTGCTGCCCCACACCAAGGCCACCTCCAGGTACATTAAATTTAATGAGAAAAACAAAACTTTAAAACTTTTAGAAGACAGCACAGTATCACATTTGTAACCATTAAGTATGCAAAAGTCAGAAAGGATAATATTGGTGCACTTAACACATTAAAATTAAAAAGAAATTCTCTTCAACAATTCTTTTAAAATAAAAGATGAAAAGACAAAGCCTATCCAAGGACAAGATGTTTGCAAATGCATGTAATTAGTTCAGAATATATAGAGGAATCATAAGAGAAAGACAACCCGATAGAAAATTGGCCAAGAATGGGGCAGGCAGTTCACAGAAAAGGAAATCCAAATGGCCTACAAACTAATAAAGATGCTGAATATCAATTATAGTTCAGAAAATGCAAATGAAAACATTAATGAGACATTTCCATCCGTGAGAGTGGCAACAGTGGGAAAGTTGGACAGCAGCAAGTGTGAGAAGGGCTGTGGAGCAGCGGAAGCTCTGCTAGGCTGCTTGTAGGAGCACAAATTGATGCAGCCATATCCTAAGAGGGCGTCGCATATGTGCAAAAGGAGATGTGTATATATATCATCAATGTAGTATTTATTTCCTGCAGCAAAAAATTAAATTACAGAATAACTGGGTATCAGTAAGCATGGATTAACTGTGGTATATACAATGATTTAAATGAACCAACTGGAACTATCTGTGGCTTGCAAAAGAATGCACATTTTATAAAACCATTTATTTAAGCTGATTAAATGGACACACATCTGTAACAGTGAAATGCTCAGTCTCTGCCTTAATTCTAGCCTGCCTTGTACCGGTGGCCTTCAGGCAAATAGCTCTTGCTATAGAGGTGCAAGTCCTTAGAGGAATTCTGCCTGTGGCTTGAGTTTTTGGAAGAACTGCCCCTTGCCAGAAAGTACCTCGCCTGAAGAGGTGGGGAAATATGTACAAAATAATGTCGGTTTATCAAAGATTTATAGGAACCTCAAGACTGGACTCAGATCATAAGGGAAGCAAAGAGATTTAGGGATTTCATGCCCTTTCTTAGATCCCTGTGGGTGCCCAGATGTCTAGGATCATCAATCATTTTTTCTCTCCCATTTTTCCTTTCCTTGATTTAGAAGAAGCCAGAACTTTGGGCTAGGGGAAGATGGATTTGAGGAACGTGTAAGGCCCCTGTATTCTCAACTGGGCATCGTCTCGATCAATAAACCTTTTCTTACTCCAAACTGATGTTTTGAATATTGGCCTTTTAAAGTGTCAGGTACATGAACTTTTGGACCAGTAATGTTACCAAACCAAAGTGGGGTTTGGTTGCCTGCCACCCCCAAAAGACAAACTCTAGAGGCAGAGGCTGGTGAAAAACGGAAAAGGGTTTTACTCTAATGCTGAATGACCTGGGAGAATGGGGAACTCCCCCCTTAAAGCTGGTCTCCTCGACAAAACCCAGCTGTCTTCAGCAAGGCCAGAACCAAAGACAGTGCCCAGAATTCCTGCTCCATCTTTAAAGTACTGTCCTTTGGAACCCAAGGCAGGTGCTAAGTGGTCATCCAGGTAGCTTAGCTTGTTCCCAGCTTCTGCCTGGCTTCAGGCTTCCCTCTGGAGGCTTCATGCGGAGCCTGCACCGCCATTGGCCATGCAGCTTCTAGGGCCAGAAGGTCCCATGCTCCCTAGCCAGAGTGTGCACGAGGGCGCCAGCAAGAGCTTCACCAAGTCCGCAAGAGAGAGAGCCTCCCACCTGGAGGCCATGAATCACCCAATTGCCAAGGTCACGTGGTCCATGGAGAGGCTAGGCCAACACATGGTCTGAGTGCAGGTCCTGAGCAGTGAGCCATGAGCAAGAGACAGATTTCTTTGTTCTCCTGGGTTTATATTGGTTTTGGGTGTGGGACAGACCAGGTGCTTTCTCAGAATGGCCCATTAACTTCCTGAACTTTCACATGTTTCAGGTAGGTCCACCTCCCTACCAATACCTGCTTTTCCCTGACTAGACTCACAGGCCTGTTTGTTCCAGAACTTCCCCTTGCTGCCATTTAACCCCTGTTGCACATGTGCCTGCCTTCCCCGGGTCCTACCCCAAGTCTGGTACTTGAAGGGAGCAGGAGGGCTCTTCCCCCTCTTACTCAATTATCTTGCTTGTCTTTAATGTGCTAAGTGTAAGAACTTCCTCCTGCCACCATCTTGCCTGAGGGTCGGGGAGCATGTGCTCAGTTCAGTGTGGAAGTACTGCAAAACTCAACGTGCTTGCCATGGCTCTGGGTGGATTATGGAGGTATTGTCTGGCTGCACACCATGCCCTCAGTGTCTCAAGGAGTCCAGATTTTATCCCCATTGCCTAGCTCCGTCTCCCTTGCAGGTCCTTCCTATTTCCTGCCCTCAACCCACTCCCATCTCTTCAGACAGACTGTCTATTGGTATCAGTTACACATGCACAAATACTCTAGTAGACTGCAAAAGTGGTCACAAATTTCTTTCTTCGCATCAAGAGCAGAATTTGTTTCTCCATCTTTTGAATCTGGGTTGCTTTGGCCAAAGGGATGTTTGAAAACATGACACTGGTTGAAAGTATGTGCAATAAAGCTTGCTTTCTTGACACTCTTGGGCGCCCCTGCCAGAAGATGAAACACACTTACCTCACTGCTTCCATTGCTGGAGCCAGCAGCCAGCCAACTTTTAGGAGAGAGCCACTCAGAGAACTGAGGGCTGGCCATGAGCAGGTCTGAGCCCAGCTGAAGCCAGAACTGGCCAGCTAAGCCCAGCCCAAATTGCTGGCTTCGAGAATTGGGAACTAAATAAAGTTAAATAAATGGTAGTTGTTTTAAGCACTAAGTTTTGGGGTGGTGTGTTATGTAGCAAAAGCTAAATGATACAAAATATACTAAGCATTCCAACATGCTGAAAAAAATGCTGGAGAAGGATACTTACTAACCTACAGATCCTTCGGAAACAAAAATGTCTATCATATTACTTTCTGTTTGAGATATTTGACAACTAAAAGATGTGAAAAATTACCTTGAAGAGCCAGAGAAAAATGAAGAAATAAGAACGGGAAAATGCCTTTAAATAGTTTAGTTGTGAAGGGGAAGAGATAAGGCCTTTGGAGACATTGAAAGTGTGTAAATACCAATGGGAAGAAGTTGGTAGAATGAGAGAGGTTGAAAATATTGTGGGAAGGACATAATTAATTGGTGATGCAAGGTTCCTGGTCATGTAAAACATGGTAATGGTATGGTGAACACAGGCTGAGAGATTAACTTCATTGGCAGGAGAGAGATTTTTTCCTTGTAGCAGGAAGGAGAATGGATGTAGGTGTAGGCAATTTGTAGTTTTGCTGGCAGGAAGTTGGAGCTCCTTTCTGATGGCGTCTCTTTCCTCCCTGCATTAATGAGAAAGAGCATCCGATTGAAATGGTGAGGTTTAGTTTGGAGACAATTTTTAAAGTCCTTGGGAGAACAATAGGATGACTTGCCTAAGTGTATATTGTGATTTGTGATAAGAAATACATATTTGTTCTTCATCCCTCTTCCTGGCACAGAGCTCCTGAAACCCTTGGAATTTCCTAAGTGATAGGACAGATAAAGGTATCTTGATATTCATAACAAACCCCCGCATGCACACCTGAATTTATGTTAATAAGTGGCTTTTGGATCCTAAGGGTGGGGCTGGTTGCCAGGGGAAACAACCCTGTGATTGGAGAGTTGGAACTTTTAGTCCCACCTGGTGAAGAGGGGCGAGGGACTGGAGGTTGAATTGATTCCTAATGGCCAATCATTTGATCAATCATGTCTATTTAGTAATACTTCCATAAATACCAAACGGTGGGGTTTGGAGACCTTTAAAGGTGGTGAACACCTGGAGACTGGGGAAGGGTGGATCACTCAAAGGGCTTGGAAGGTCTGCACCCTCTTCCCACAGGAATCTCTTGCTCTATGAATATCTTCCATCTGGCTGTTCCTGGTAATCTAGTAAGTGAAATGTTTCTCTGAGTTCTGTAAGCTGCTCTAGCAAATTAATCAAACCAAAAGAGGAGGTGTGGGATCTTTCAATCTATAGCTATTTGGTCAGAAGCACAGGCGACAACCTGGGCCTTTGACTGGCCTCTGCAGTACAGGGGTGGGGGACATGGCAGTCCTGTAATCAGGCAGTGTGGGGTCAGGCTATTTGTCACCATTTATAACAGGAAGATTTGTGGGGAAGGAAATAGGTTTTTAGTAACAGTGATCCTAATTTAAGGGGACTGGGTGCATTCCTGCTCTGAGCCCACTGAGCCAGCCTCTCCTGCAAAGCACAGTAAATCAGCCACTGCCCAGGGAGATTAAAGTCCAAATCGATGTCCAGAAATTCCTCTTTGTTGCTTATTTATAGCCCCAGGTTGATACTCAAATGGGTTCTTACTCTCCAACTCCCAGCTCTCTGTCCGTGTGCCAGAGTTGCCATTGTCTGGCAGCAGCTCTCTCTCTCTCACGCTCTGGGGCACACTGCCAGACCACTCCAGATGGTCCTGCAGGGGAAGTGCCATCCGCAAGGAACTTCCCAGCTCATGCCTCCGTGTGCTGCTCTCAGGGCAAGAGAGTAGAAGCAGTCCAGGACCCGTGTGCCATGCTGCACTGGGTCATAGCTTCCCAAAGGCTAGAGCCCAGAAAGGCACGCATCCCAGGGTAGGACCCTGCCTCGGGGAGCTGGTGTCCAACCATGTGGGGCCTAAGCCCTGAGCGGTCCCTGTATATGCCACTCCTGCCCTTGAAGGGCAAAGCAAGAGACAGGCTTCTGTCAACCTTCTGTTTAAAAATCCTCTCCCAGAATCCCATGTGCTCCATAAGCCAGTGGGAGTGTCCAGCTTTCCACTGAGGGCCAGTGTTGGCCATATTTGCCTTCGCCCCTCTTCTGGCTGCCATGTTGCATCAGGGGGCAGAGTCTCCAGTCACGTATGCTCTATACAAGCTCCCTTCTGCCGAACCACGGGAGCTGCCCTGCTGCCTGAGCATCTCCCTCCTTCCTCCTCCCTCACAGGGAGGGCAAGCCACCTTTAATCTTCAGTTGCACCTTGGGCTTTTCTCCTTGCCCCCTGTCTTCTCCAGAGATCTGTCCTGACCCCTCCATGACAGTCCTGTAGGCCTGAGCCTTAATCTGTGGAACCTGCTGCTGTTTCCAGGTAGATAGTGTTAGAATTGAGTTGAATTGCAGGATATCCAGCTGGTGTCAGAGAATCACTTCATGGTATGGGAAACACACACATAGGAATTGGTGTCAGAATTCTGTTTGGATAACATAGGATTGCTGAGCATCATTAGCAGTCCAGTTAGGACGACTTCCCCTACACAGCTGTCTTTTTTTCTCTATCACTACTCAGCATCCCTAATAAAGGTCTAGAGAAGTGGAGAGTTGAATTTATTTAGAGTTGGAGTTTTGTTGGGCAGGTAGGGTGGTAACCAGGTGATGCACCATGGGATCTAAGCTGGGTGGGCAATAAAGTGAAGACAGATAGGGATAGAACAAAGGGCTGTTTTGTGGAGTCAGAGCTGCCTTTATTTACCTGTTGTCTCCCCCACAAGACTGTAAGCTCTTTAAGAAGAACCTTTTTTATTCATCATTGTTATCAATAGCATCCTGCATAATACCTAACTCACAATAAGTTCTCCATAAATTGTTGATGAATTAAATAAGTGGCTTAAAATTCTGTTCCTTGAAGGCCAGGTTAATTTCTCCTGCAGCTTTTTCCAAGCAAAACAAATCCCGTGTTCTTAACTATTTCTCATTGGTTCTAATTGATCTAATTTTTGTTTTCTATTCAGAACCTTCTTTAAGAAATGGGGAGATGTTGGTTAAAGGGTATAAATTTCCAGCTATAAGATGAATATGTTCTGGGGGTCTAATGTACAGCAGTTAACAATACTGTATTATAGAGTTGAAAGTTACTAAGAGAGTAGATCTCAAATGTTCTCACCACACACTCACGCACACAAAGTAATTATTTGAAAAGATGGATGTATTAACTAACCTTGTTGTGGGAATCACTTCACAGTATGTGTCAAATCATTGTGTTGTACAATGTTTACTTTAAACTTACTCAATGTTATATGTCAATTATACCTCAATAAAACTGGAAAAATAAAAGTTCTTTCCTGTGCATGCTCTACACTGTTCTTTCTGGTGAATAGTCTTCCCTATTGAATACCTTGTTTGAATGATCATGTCTGATTTGTTCTCTAGCCAGTTTAATCCAGGAGATGAATTCTGATGACCCAGTTGTACAAGAGAAAGCTATCCTCAAGACAGAAAAGAGACTACTGTTCACAGAGGAAGACCAAGAGGAGGACAGATGCAGGACCACCTTGAACAAGACCATGATCAGTCCTCCACAAGCTCCCACAAAGGTTTCCTTTTCCTAATATGAACTTATATAAATAGATGCAGTGAGGTGGTCTACACTGAAGCAGAGGAAGTAGTAGTTTAATTGCATACTATGTGGTGATGCTGAAATAATTTTGATATTTTTAGATTAACTAAATTTATTTTCCACAAGGAAGTATAAACACTGATTTTATTTTCTTTTTTTTCCTCCTCTGGGTCATCTTTAAACAACTCTTTGGGTTTGTTTTAATGAAAATTTGGCCTCTCCACACCCTAAGCATGTGACTATATTTAAGCTGTACTGTTAGTGTATATTCTACTAACTTATTATTTCCAACTCATACAGCTACAGCCAGGTCCCTTGATCTGGTCACACTTGTTTGTGCAGAGTTAGTCCCATGACAATTGTGCCTATAATCAGATCTCTGGATTTAAAGCAGTTCCCCTGATTTTTGGACCCTTCAGTAGTGATGGTTAAAGGAAATGATTCTACTCCCCACATGTAATTGATGCCTTCTTGATTTGTATATTTATAAATCAGAGTTGTTTCTGAAATTTGTTTCTTTGTTTTTATGATAACCTGTGCCCCCTACAGAATGCAGATGAAATAAACTCAGGTAAGGATAGCGTCTCTCTTCCCAATGGGCATTATTTTTTAGGATCAGTGTTTGTTTGTTTGTTTGTTTGTTTTAATTTATTGATTTTAGAGAGAGAAGGAGAGAGACAGAGAGAGAGAGACATTGATTTGCTCCACTTATTCATGCATTCATTGGTTGCTTCTTGTATGTGCCCTGACCGAGGATCAAACCCGCAACCTTGGTATATTGGGACAATGCTCTGACCAACTGAGCTATGCAGCCTGGGCAGGATCAGTGTTTAGCCCAGACCCTCAGATTATAGCGTCTGGGTGTACAAACAATCCATGAAAAAAAACCCTACTGATGACCAAGTTCTGTTACTGGTGGCCAGAGGAAACAGCGGGCCCTTTGAGGTTTCTCTCTTTTCTCCTGGCCAATCTTGTGCAAACTAAATTCAATCATTCTGTATCTTCCAGTTTACTCTTTGTTGCTCAAGGGATCCAGATAGTTTCTGTGTTGCTCAGCTCAGAAGCTCATTGTGCTAAATGGAACAAAAAAAATAGTCTTCAGGGAAAAAAACTTCTTAAAAGTATAATTCAAATTTAAAGCATAGACATAGCCATCATGTATAATAATATATCACACAGATTACCATGTCAAATTAAGATGTCATTTTAATCGTGTGTGTGTGTGTGTGTATGTGTACGTGTGCCTGCATGTGTGCATGAGAAATATGGCTCTAAAGCTTTAAAGTAGCTTTCTTCTGAATACGAAAAGAACTGACTACAGTATTGGGTTTTTCTTTTTAATATTTGAAATTACTCTGCTGTCAGAGGCCTTCTTGGCATCCGTGGAGAAGGATGCAAAGGAGCGTGCCAAGAGAAGAAGGGAAAACAGAGTCTTAGCAGATGGTAATTGTCAGTCTTCACTTTTCAATAGGCGGGATGGTTGGTGTTAGAATGAGCACATGAGTCTCTCTGCTGATATTTGAGGACATCAATATTCCCACTGCTGGGTTCCTGGTGGGCCCAGGCAGTGGGACCTGGCCAGGTGAAAACTTCCTGTCCCTGATGCAACAAATGGTGCAGGACAGAGCTGTCGGTCAGCCTCTACAGTCCAGCCTCTTTCTAAAGCATATGGGTGGACTTAGCAGGTCAGATTGAGAGTACCAAACAATACTTGGAATGTAGGGAGGGATGGGAATGAGGTACCACTGGCTAGCCTGAGGCATGGATGAAGAAGTAAAGAAGGAAAAGGAAACAAGGAAACAAAGATGTGAGAAGGGAAAGGAAAAATGAAAAGAAAGACAGTGTGTGTGGCAGGCAACATACATGACAGGGAAGGCTTTCAGCATTGATTTTATACCATCCATGGGGCATGTAAGCTGCAGATCTGAATGATACCATATTTGCTAGAAAATTAGTTATTTGACCCTTTTTATGAAATATTGACTGTGTAGACTTGGTCTCTGTGATAGGCTTGGAGTGGGTCTCAGCCTTGAGGCAGATACATTTACTTTTTCTGAGAAGCAACTTAGAAGACTTGGAGTGAATTTGGAGGAAAAACCCCTAAAAGTAGCCAATCTTGAAATATCTGCCGAGAGAAACAAGTGACAGGTCCCCTTTGGGTTGATGCAAGCTATGGCCTTCAAAGTAGAGTTGGAAAATCAAGAGAATAAAGTCTGAGAGAATTTTCCAGTGTGTGGGGAGAGCTCACCTGTATAACTCTTATTCTCATAGCCCTAAAAGAAAAGGGAAATGAAGCCTTTGTCAGAGGCGATTATGAGACGGCCATCCTCTGCTACAGTGAGGGCTTGAAGAAGCTGAAGGACATGAAAGTGCTGTACACCAACCGAGCCCAGGTAGGTGAGCCAAGAATGTGTCCACAGGGTTTTCTCAGGGAACAGAGCCACTAAACTTGTGAAATCAGAGAGAGATCAGACTAGGTGGTACCAGTGGTATGACAATGACTGGCTCTAATTGGAGCGGAAGCTGATTTGTATGGAGCATTTGCCAATTGCCATGGTGTAAATACTCTCACAATGGTCCAATTTCAAGCTACTAACTTGAAATCTTTGAAGGAGGACTTGGGAAGAGTTACACATAATATCTCCTTAGTGTAAGTCAGCTCCAGTGCATTGCTGATGGTAACAAAGCACTTTTCCATGTGTATAAAGGAGGAAACTAGTGGAATGAAATGGCCTATGAGACTTTGGGATTCTGCCACCACTGGATTAGTCCAGCCTCCTTTCTCATGGTAACCTAAACTTCTGAGAGCTTCTCTCCGGTTAATTTCTTACTTATTGTCTCAATCCCTCTTTGATTAAGATTCTGTGACTGGAGTAGACTGGAAAGCTGATGGGCTTAGAGCCAATTTTGAGTTTCTAAAATCCCTGATGCCTTATTTTATATCACAGATGAGCTCAGTTTCCTGAAATGCCAAGTAAAAACTATCACCCAGATTTTTATTATCTACTCCTTGATTGAAGGGACATGGTTGATAGTTCTCAGCTGAAACAAAAATGTCACCTGTGGCCTTATCTTTGAGGAGTGCTTGAGTTTGTGTGGTAGAACTCTGCTGATCGGGCCTGGAAAACTGACAGACTTGTGGGCGTGATTATCCGATGGTCAGTGTATGTCAGCAGGACTGATGTGAGAGGATCATTTATGTGAGAAGGAGCCCTCATCAGCCCCAGTTTCTGTAACTCAAGGTTGAGGATGTCCTGCTGAGGAATGTTGACATCTTAGGAGGCCAAAAAGTTTGGGAGTGACTGTGATTTAATGACAGATAAACCCAAGCACAGTATAACCTCATTAGTTCAGCAGCTGAAGTCTAGTACACTAGAGTTGAGGTATCACTTACCTCATCCCATCTGTGGAGAAAAATTATTATAAAGAAGAAATTAGTAAACAGAATGGCCAAAGGTTGATTTAGCAGTGTACATTTTATCATCCTAAGAAGATCATAAACTTTTTTGAAGGCAAAAACTGCCATATACTTTTCCCCTAATGCTTTTTGTATAGCAGATGTTCAATAAATCCTTGTTAAGTTACATAACACTGGAGGCACAAGAAGTGTATTTGTGAATTAAGTTTCTGTTGACACTCCAAAAGAAACACTTAAGCACAAACAATTAATATAATAATTATAGTTCCTTTTTATTTATTACCAAATTTGGACTCTGAAACATTTACCTACTGATTCTTGTTTAGTCTTGTTACTCTAAAGTTATTTGAAAGCAGTAAAATAGAATTGCTTTTAAAATCTTATATATCTCCATATCTAATTCAGATAGTCTATACCCTGATTTATCTAAATTAGTTACATTTTTACTGTACTCAAGTTTAAACCACATTTTGATTAGTTCTGCAGAATCACATCAAGAATGACTATAGATGAAAATAAATAAAAGCAATGCAAGCTTTTTGGAAACCATTCCTTCCAACTTCCCCAGAGAAAGCTTATTTGGAGCAAATGCAAAATGTGCTGCCTGGTTTTACAAATCATTTAAATCACTGACTATTTCTAAAATGCCTCCTCTGTTTGCATGTAGTGTTAGGAAACACTTAATAAGGACCTTGTGGATAGGGTGCTGCTTCTTGCTAGAGAGAAAACCTACACGTTCATCACTTTGTTTTTCTTCTGGAGCTAATGTTGTGATCAATAGATTGCTGATGTAATTTAGATAAATCATTTGGAAAAAGTAGTTCTTAAAATGTGGAAAAGCAAAAGAGAACGGGGAAGTTTTAGGGTGTTGAATTCAGGCTTAAAAAAATACAAAAGAAAAAGTAAAAGGCAGTACAGAAATTGTTTAAGCCCGTTTAGACCTTTTCAGAGTCTGTATGTATCCCAAATAGCAATGTCATGAAATCATGGCTACAGTTGTCTAGAAGGATGCTAGCTTACTTTTCACATCCTGACTTTCAAATGCAACCCCCAACCCTGGAGGAAAGGATGGTTCTTTATAGAACAGAAAGCTTGAAGTCGTCGACTTCAATAAGTACAGAATCCAAGTTAATGAAAGCACTGCAGAGCAACTTCTTTTCTAGGGATGCAAGGAGGTACCCTACAGGAATTCATTAGCTGGCTATTGCCTGCTCTCTCCTCACTTTGGTTCAGTGCCGGCATTCCCTATGAATTATAACACTGACCCTATAATTGGCTTAACCATGTAAATATCTCATCAGATTTATTGATAAGAGGGTGACAGTGCCCGAGCACAGTTTTGATTATGGGCAAACCTACCTGGAGTATTGGCTCTACTAGTGGTGACTGATAGGACTCTGGAAAATCACTTATTGTCCTGGTGCCTTGTTTTCCTTTCTTGTAACAGGGTGACCACTTATGCTTTTTAGGGAACTTTCCAAAAGAAGAGCACATAAAGTCTATTTAGTGAAACTTAATAAGAATTTATTGACCACCTACTGTGTCTAGTAATTAATACACAGAGCACAATAGCCATTGTGCTTGCTGTTAGACAGCGCTTCGTTTGTTTCCATGCTACTAGTTCTTTGCAACTATAGGTGACCTAAATCAGGTTTAGTTCGAATGGACCACAGAATTCTGAGTCAGTTCTTGATTTTCCAGATTTTCCCCAATTCTAGGGGATCCCAAAAGAGTACCAAGGGCTCATGGTGATGGTCTAACTCTTAAATTTCAGCTCATTTCCTATACCTTTTTTTTCCTGCTGGGCTCATGAGGGAAGATGAACTTTACCTTTTTTTGGTAACATCCTTATTGAAATATAATTGCCATACAATTCATTTAAAATATACAATTCATTGGTTTTTAGTATATTCATAGAATTGTGTGACCATTATCACAATCAATTTTAGAACATTTTTGTCATCCTAATAAGAAACCCTTTAAGCAGCTCACCCCCTAGCCCAACTCCTAGCCCTAAGCAGCTACTAATCTACAGTAAGTCAAGTTTCTGTAACTGTAAGCACAATGATGTAAAATGAAACCAAATTACCATAAGGTAATTGATATAAACAACTGAAGTTCCTATGGCATCTCATCAATATAATAACAAAATTGTATTGAACAAAACTATTTGAGAACTTGCTATACCTTCTATCCCTATATACCTGCTAATTCTGGGCATTTTATATAAGTGAAATCACATAATATTTTACCTATTGTGCCTGGTTCTTTTATTTAACATAATCTTTTCAAGGTTCATCCATGTTGTAATATGTATCAGTACTTCATTTTTATTTCTGAATAATATACTAGTGTATGGATATACCATATTTTATTTATCTATTCATCAGTTGATGGGCATTTGGATTGTTTCTACTTCCTGACTATTGTGAATAATGCTGCTATGATCATTTGTGTACAAGTTTTTTGTGAACATATGTTTACGGTCTTCTTGGGTATATACCCAGGAGGAGCATTGCTAGATCACATGGTAACTGTATGTTTAATCTTTTGAGGAACTGCTGTCTTCTAAAGTGGTTGCATCATCTGACATTCCCACCAGCTGTGTCTGAGAGGTCCAGTTTTCTTACATTCTCACCAACACTTGTTATTATCCTTTTATTCCCTTTATCATTTGGTTTCCTCCTGGAATATTCACAGGGGTGTAGACTCTAGAAGCTAGCTCTTCCTTTGTAGATAGATGTGTTTAGTGTGCTCAGTATTATCTTTTACCCCTCCAGATCCTTCTCTCCCTGTTCTGTGCCCTGAAGATTGAAGTCTGTGGACTGGCCCACCAGCCCCTTAACTCCTCTGCTTTGTAGCTTCCATTTGGGTTCAGCCTGTGACATCGGAAGGGAGGAGGACAGTGACATTGGGATATTTTTTCTCCCAACTTTGGCTGTAACAAAGGCCACAGCTCCCATTAGGCAGCACTTTTCACAAAGCTGCCTTCTCCTATTTTGTTCATTGCTCCTCCTCTAGCCCCTGCAATTCTAGCAATGGTGATGGCTGTCCACTGTTGCTAGCCCTGGGGTTCTAGAACATTCCTGCTGGTTTTCCTAACCTTGTAAATAGTCCCTTTATTAAACTCTCCTCATTATCTGAGCATGAGTGTGCTATCTGTGTCCAGCTGGGACCCTGACTGATATTGCTAGGGACCAGTTACTTCTCATCACCACTGCACTGCTTTTTCTGTGTTAAAGACTGTTCGCTACAGGATTGTATGTGAATATCAGTTATTTGTGTCATTACAGGCTTATATAAAACTTGGGGACTACCAGAAGGCAGTAGTGGATTGTGACTGGGCTCTGAAGGTAAGAAAGTATTTCCTTTTCCACATGACGGAGTTGGGCTTGGTCAGGCCAGATGCTTCAGTCCTGAAGTGAATAGAGAGGAACTGCTAGTATATCTCAGTGGGAAAGAGTACAGGTGCTGAGAGCAGGGCCTCAGTTCTTCATCTATAAAAATGGATAGAATGGAATCATTTTGAGGGTTATGATAATATATATAAAATATCTGCTTCTTAGTCAATGCTCCAGAGAAGCTGCTGTTAATACTGGTTTTTCATATTGCGACAGCCTATCCTTTGCTATTGCATTATCAGAGCTTTGTTTCACAGGGTAGTGGTAATGCCTCCTTCTCTCTCTAGAGCCAATGGGAGCCTGTTTCTGCAAGGTCCTTCTTCATCATCAGTGCGTGCTTTTCCTCTCCAGCTCTAATAACTTGGAGATGTATATAGCATCCCCTATTTGTAGAGGATTAATCAGAAGGAAGAGTTCCTATTGGTCAACCTGGATACTAGTCAGACCTCAGGAAGATAGCATAATACTGTGCTCAGTATTTCCTCTTAAATTTACCAAAATAGACAATTTAAGGTGAGGGCAAATGAGAACTGTTAGCGGAAATATTAGAAGAGTTTTTTTTAAAAGAAATGTCATGATCACTTCTTAGGGACATTATTTCAGATGCCTAAATATTTAAATAGCCCTTAATCCACATTCCCTAAATTACTCTGTCATAGGGGGCTTTAACTGAAAAGAAAAAAAAGAAAAAAAGAAGAAAAAAGCTGTGCTTCTCATACTTCCTCACCAAAGAGTGTTAGCAGCATGCATGCGAGCCCCTGGAGGGTATAGAAGCAGAGAGCATGCACTTTCTTTTTAGACATGTGTTTTATCTTAAAATCCTTGTGATTTTGCATTGCACTACAAAAAATATATCTTAATATATTCATATTATTTTAAATAACAAAATCAATCAAAATTGAAGTGCTAGGAGAATGTATCAGATTTGTTTTATGACTTGATTCCCCAGTATGACAACACCTACTACCCCAGCCAAGTGCGCACATGGCTTAAGAAAAGAGCACATTTTGCCCTGGCTGGTGTGGCTCGGTGGATGGAGTGCCAGCCTGCAAACCAAAGAGTGGCCAGTTCAATTCTCAGCCTGGGCACATGCCTGGGTTATGGGCCAGGTCCCAATAACAGGCGTGCGAGAGGCATCCACACGTTGATGTTTCTCTCCCTTTCTTTCTCCCTACCTTCCCCTCTGTCTAAAAATAAATAAATAAAATCTTTAAAAAAAATTTTTTTTAAAAAGACAAGAGCACATTTTGACAGCAGCATATTGGCCACACCTACTTCCTTATTTTTTATTAAGAGGGTATGCCAGGGAAACAGGAGTGAATTGGAAATGAACCTTTGCTAATAATGGTTTATAAAACACTGGGATCCTCCAAAGCTGCCATCTGGCATGCTTGATTTCTTTATCCCTTAAAACATATGGCAGCAAATCTTGTCCCATTGTATCATTGCAGTCTTTAAGCGGCAGGAGCTGCCCAAAGCTGAAAACATTGGGGTTTTCACAGTTCCAGCATAGATCCACTAATCTGCTTTGTCACTTTAGTGGGTCATGATTTCTTTTTCTACCATAATTCTGTAAGAGAAAAGAAAGACAATGACAATTTTCCTAAGTGGTCCTAATAATAACAGCAGAGACCACCATTTGCTGCTTGCTGGCCATGGGCTATCTCATTTGAGCCTCACATTATTCTGTTCTATTATGTTCAATATTGCTGTTATCTTTATCTTTCTGACATGGAAACCTAGCTTCGGAGGTTAATTAAGTAACCTGTGCAGGATCACACAGCTATTGCTGGTCTAACAGTAAGGTGATGCTCTGACCCATCTACTAAAACAACCTCTTCATTGAAACCTTAAACCCCATAGTCCCTGACAGGGGGTCTCATTCCCTTCTGCAGGAGAACCGAAATCTCCCATTGGGGTTTCCAGGAATATCTTTTCCAGTCTGTAAAGGACTAAAGAGGAAGTCACACCATTGTGCTGATTCAGGATAGCACACTGGTCTGTTGCCAGATGTTAATGGAAATACAATGTAATTAACAATGGAAACCCAGGCAAAGCAGGCCCAACAGAGCTGACATTAAAAAACACTGACACTCAGCAGCCAATCTTGTTAAATGCCCAGCGAGACTCCCTGTTGAAGATGTTTGGGTAAACATTTGGAAGTGTGGAAGAAAATGTGTGGGGAGTTCTAAAAGCTCACAATAGTTGGCTCTACATCAGAGCTGTAAATTAAAAAGTTTGCTGTCTTTGAAAGTAATATATCAATAGTGAATGTCAGTGGTACTCCATTATTAATAGTATTAATACTTTCATGCCAATTTAATATTCTTGACACTTGGGAATTGGCAGAGACAAGCCCATGTGATGATATTTCAAGACTGATGTTCCTTGTCAAGGAAGATGAGGCAACAAAGCTGGTTTTTGGTTATGGTTAATTGCTTTCTCAGCACAACACTTCCTGCACAATAAAATATGTCATCTTCTGAAGGCAGGATTCCCTTTAAGAGGGAATGGGATTCACCTAAGATAATCCTGGTGCAGGTCGACACATGAGAGAAGGAAAGGGGAAAAATCCATTAGCAGCCCTTGCCTCAAGTGCCTGAGGAAGGTGGTCACAAGGACACTCCATTGCAGACACCCACAGTAGGCAGAACCAGGCCCTGGGGCTCGGGTTGCTTTTCCCCTGCTGTAACCTGGTTCTGCGAACACTGGCCTTCAAAACTCCTGTTTCCTCTAATGGGTTCAACTCTCGTCTCTGCAAATGGCTCTCGGACCTACTTCCCCAGGGCCACAGGTTTTCTATCTGCGTGTCTGAGCATCATCTGAAACAAACCCTTCATCTTCCCACTCAACCTGCCCTAACCTACCTCTTTCTGCTAATGGCACATGATGTCTTCCAGGCATCTGAACTATAAACTTTTGATTTGACATCCTCCTTCCCCCGTATTATGTATGGTGAGTTGATGCTGCTCAATCCTTTCTTTGACATAGCTTCGGTATCTGCCCTTTCCTTTCTCTCCCACTGTCACTAGGACATCACTTGTTAGCTCCTCATTTGAAGTGATTGTTTTGTTCCCCCTGACCTCTTTGCCTTTCCCTCCTCTAGTCAGTTCTGCACGCTGCCTCCAGGCCAACTTTCCTATTCATGGCCACTGATCACTCGTCCTCCTCTAGCCTGGTTTTCAAGGCCTCCATGTGGACTCACTGTCTAGCTCACCCCTTCCATCCTGTTGTCCCTCCGCCTCACACCTGTTCCTTGTTCTGAACTGTCCACTGAAGCTCCTCGTACTCTTTGGCCTCTGGACCTTGTTCAACCCATTCTCCCTTCATCCTTCACTCTTCACCTCTCCATATCATCCAAGATCCAGCTCTGATCCCTCCTCTTTGTATGCCCTTTGTTAGGCTATATTTCTTCAGAGTACACTTCCTTCTATAGAACTGCTATAGACTTTTCTGAAGGAGATGTAGTGTCATTTTTAAGCCTTTTCGGCCTGGAATCAAATGGCCAGATTTTAAATCCCAGCTCTTTCACTTAGTATCTATGTGACCTTGCACCTCTCCAACCCTTAGTCTCCTTATCTGTACAGTGGGGATAACTGTACTTTGTAGAGTTGTTATAAGGTTTGTATGAAGTAATTTATATGAACCCTATGGGAAGAGCTAAACACTAACACACTATCATTACTATTATTACTGCCATTCACTTAGCAACAAATCAGGAAATGATATTTATGAGAATTCATGCATTTATAAAGGGCTCCCCAATAACAGTCATTGTCACTTCTATTGTTATTTAACTTTTTTTACATTTACATTTTTTTGTTCTGAAATGGATTGCTATTGTAACTGCAGCAACAGCCACAGATACCATATTACCAGCACTGCACTAGTGTTTTATAAGTGTTCCTTCCTCACAACAACCTAAAAGGGAGAGAGACACTATAATTATCGTCACTTCCCACATGAAGAAAATGAGCATCAGAAAACTCAGGCGGCCTGGCCAGCATCCCAGTTCTGGTGAGAGCCAGAGCAGGGCGTTGCCCAGGACTTTTTAGACTCCTGAGCTTCACTCTTAACCTCTTTAAATCTAAACCTCTGAAGAGCATCCAAGCCTGACCAGGCATAATGGCTTGCACATAAAAGAGATACAATTACTTAATTGGATGTGTTAAATTATAGTTTATGTTTCTGCGCAAGTTGTTCTCTCTGGAGTTATAATAGTTAGGAGCAGGCAGGTGCAGAGTCCCTGTGCACATGGCTTAGCCTCAGCCCTAAGTTTCAGTCCTGCCCTTAGAAGGGGACACCCCTCCTGGCCTTAAATGATAAGAGTATAAGCTTCCAGTATGTATGTTGTGGTTTATTTCAGGGAAGGGTCTTCCCAGCCCTACTGAGATGTAATAGTAACCCAGAATAGATTGTACTCTCTTCTAATAAAGCAGTGGTTCTCAAACTTGGCTGCTTATTTACATCACCTAGAGAGTTCAGAAAAATACTGATGCCTGAGCCTTACCCCAAAGTACAATTTAACTGGTATAGAGTTCAGCCTGGCTGTCAGAAATTATATAAGCATCCCAGGTAATTCTTATGTCCTGCCAAGGCCAAGAGGTCTTCTAAACTCAGGGTTTCTGGTTTCCTGACTATCATTAAATGGAAATGAAAACTGAGAAGTATCATTAATCAGTTTGATAGAGAGTTTTCTTGTGTGTCCAGGCTCCTTGCAGACATCATTTAGTTTGGTCACAGGCACGTGGAAAAGTTTTAGTTGGCAACTCTAGGAGCTGTCCTGAGAACAAAGCATGTCCTTTACTCTGCTAGCTAGGTGGTTAGAGAAGTGCTGGTGACTCCAAATCACCTGAAACATCTGATTAGTTGTTCTCTTTTATGCAGTGTGATGAAAAATGCACAAAAGCTTATTTCCACATGGGAAAAGCCCACCTGGCTCTAAAGAACTACAGTGTGGTAAGTTCTTAAAGGAATGTAAGTGGCATATTTGATCACAGAGCGATGCTTCAGATTGTCTCTCCTCCAAGTTGATTAGATATTAATCCACCTTGTAGTATTTTCCAGGGTAAATCTTTAGATCTTAGAGTTGGGGGGAGGGGGGATGTTGAAAATCATCTAGTACAGCCCTACCTCTGTAGAAACCACTCTGCAATATCTCTCATCAGTGGTCACTGAGCCCTGGAAGAAGCACTTCTTAAGAGGAAAGACAAAAAAAAAAAAGATGAAAACAAAACTTACTTTTAATCTCATCACCCAAAAGTAATTGTGTATGTATATATTCATACCAAGGTATTATCTATTGTTAACAGCAGCTTTGTTGAAATACAATTCACATACCAAACAATTTGTCTATGGAAAATATATAATTCACTGTTTTTTTGTATATTCGCAGAGTTGTGAAACCTGTCAATTTTAGAACATTTTTGTCACTCCCTACAAAAGCCTTGTACCCATTAGCAGTCACTCCCTATCCCTCCACCCTAACCACAACCCTAGACAACCACTAAAATACTTTTTGTCTCTATACATTTGCCTATTTTAGACTTTTCACCTAAATATAATTATACACTATCTGGTCTTTTGTGACTGGTTTCTTTCACATAGCATAATGTTTGCAAGGTTCATCCATGTTGTGGTATCAGTACTTCATTCCTTTTATTGCTGAATACTGTTTCATTGTATGGAGAGACCACATATTTATCTGTCAGTTGATGAGCACTTGGGTTGTTTCCATTGTGGGCTATTATGAACATCCATGTACAAGATTTTTTATGGACATTTGTTTACAATCTTCCTGTTGTAAACAATACCTAGGAATGGAACTGCTGAGTCATATAACTTTATGTTTAGCCTTTGGAGGAACTGCCTGAGTGTTTTCCAAAGTGGCTGCACCATTTTCACATTCCCACCAGCAGTGTGTGGTTCCAATTTCACCTCATCCTGGAGAATAACAATACTTGTTATTGTCTGTCTTTTTGATTATAGCCATCCTAGTGTGTGTGAAGTGGTATCTCATTGTTGTTTTGATTTACATTTCCCTAATCGCTGATGATGTTGAGCATGTTTTTGTGTGCTTATTGGCCATTTGTTTATCTTCTTTAAAGAACTGTCTTTTCAGATCCTTTGCCATATTTGTATTATGGATACCAGTCCCTTATTGGATAAATGATTTGCAAATATTTTTACCAATCTTTGTGCTGTCCTTTCACTTTCTTGATGATGTCATTGTAGTAGTGCAAAATTATTAATTTTCATGAATTCCACATTACCTATATTTTTCCTTTGGTTGCTTATACTTTTGGTGTTGTTGCTAATATAAGATTTACTTCTATGTTTTCTTCTAAAAGTTTTATGGCTTTAGCTCTTAAATGTAGATCTCTGGTCCCCTTCGGGTTAATTTTTGTACATGGTGTAAGGAAGGAATCCAGTTTCATGCCACACTTTTATATGTGGGTATCCAGTCATCCCATCACCTTTTCTTCAAAGAACTGTTCTCCCTCCCACTGAATGATTTTGGCACCCTTGTCAAAAATCAATTGATCATAAATTCATGAGTTTATTTCTGGACTGTCAGTTTTGTTCCATTGATCTATATGTCTGTTCTTACATCTGTACCACATTGTTTTGATTCCTAGAGCTTTGTAGTAAATATTGAATTGGGAAACAGTTTTCTAACTTTGCTCTGCCTTTTCAAGGTTGTTTAAGTTATTCTGGGTTTCTTGGTTACCATACAAATTTCATGATCAGCTTGTCAATTTCCACAAAGAAGTCAGATGGCATTTTGATGGAGATTGCATTGAATCTGTAGATCAGTTTGGGAAGTATTGCTATCTTAACAATATTAAGTCTTTCAACCCATGAACATGGACTGTCTTTCAGTTTACATGATATTAGATTTTTTAAAAGAAATTGTCTTTGCCTTGGCTGGGTAGCTCATTTGGTTAGAGCATTGCTCTGCTATGCCAAAGTTGCAAGTTCAATCCCTGGTCAGGACACATACAAGAATCAACCAATGAGCACATAAATAAGTGGAACAACAAACTGATGCTCTCTTTCTCTCTTACTCGGTCTCTCCCCTCCCCCTGGGCCTTCCCTCCCTCCCTCTCTCCTCTTCCTCTTTCTCTCAACAATCAATACATTTTAAAAAAGAAATTGCCTCCTATTGTACATTTTTAAAAAATTATTTTCTTTGTTGGGTTTTAATTCCAAAAGTAATTCAGTCTTAGTATAATAAGGTCAATAATAGAGAAGTAAAAAAATGTTAATCTTCCCCTCTCTACCAAATTCTATTCACTCAATTATTTTACTCAGCAAATATGTATTGCATACTTTCTATGTTCCAGGCACTCTTCCCTAGGCCACAGGAATACAGTAATGAACAAAACAAAAATTCTTGACTTAATTGAATTCCTATTCTTGTGGTAGGGGTGACTAGGAGTCAGAAACCAAATTAAATAGATGTGCAGTAGTCTGTTGGGTAGTAATAGTGTTATTGAAAAAAATCAGGAGGCAGCGAAGGTATAGAGTGCTCAGGGAGGATCTTTTTAAAGAAAAGGAGGTAATGAAATAAAGAAGATATGTGGATATGTAATGGCAGAATGGTCCAGGTGAAGAGATAGCTAGAATGGAGCAAGCAAGAGAGTGATAAGAGATGAGGTCAGACAGGTGATGGGGTACAGGGGGGACTGAACCCCTAGGATGTTACAGGCTTTGGGAGGACCTTGGATTTTATTTTGAGTGAGCTGAGAGCTATTCAAAGGTTTTGAGTAAAGGAGTGAAATGATCTGACTCATGTTTTAATGGCTCACTCTGCTATATTGAGAATATATTTTGACATGGTAGTAAAAGAACAGAGAACTAGTTATAAGGCTTCTGCAGCAAATTATCCATGTGAGGCGATGATGGTTTGGACAAGCTTGGTGATGACAGAGGTGATGAGAAGGGATGGGGTTCTAGATATATGCCAACAGTGAAGCCAACGGGAATTGCTGGTAGATTAGATCTAGGGGTAAAAAGAAGTTTGATACAAGGTCACTGTCTTAGTCCTTTTGGGCTGCTATACCATAAACCACTATAAACCAAGTGGCTTAAAGCACAATCATTTATTTCTCACAGTTCTGGAGTGTGGAATGTCCAAGATCAAGACACCACAGATTCGGTGTCTGGTAGGGACCTGCTTCCCAGTTCATAAACAGCCAGAAGAGTGAGCGAGCACTGTGGGGTACCAATCTTTCATAAGGGCACCAATCTCATTCACGAGAGCTCCATCCTTATGACCTAATCGCCTCCCAAAGGCCCCACTTCCTAATACGTGGCCTTCAGGTTTAGGTTTCAACGTATGCATTTGGAAGGAACACAAACATTTAGTCTATAGCAGTTACCATGTTTGATGTATATCTTCTATCCTGTGACACTGTTCTCTGATTAATAAAATGTTTTTCTTCAGTTTATTTCTTAATCCTTATCTTCTAGACAAGCCTGATGCAATACCTCAGAACTGTTTCATTTTTTTGTTTCTTGTTTTTTGTTTTCCTGGCTTTTTCTCTTGGTGCTTGGTTGTATTACACTCTGGGCAGTTCTTGATACCCCTGAGGACAGTACTGCCCTAAACCCAGCATCATAGGCCATGAACTAAACTCTTTCTTTTTCCAGAAACTTACTGTCTTAACAGTTTCCTCAGTGAGAGCCCCTCACTCTCATGTTTTCTAGCTGACTTTTATATGTCCAGCTCTCTTTGCAGTCCTGCACCTTTAAATGGGCATTCCTCATTTCCTGTTCCCAAGTCTCTGTCAACAATGTCTCGAGCTTTGTTTATTTCTTTACTCCTTATGGGCACATCTGACAGGTAGCGTCCTGTTCCCTCTCAGTGCAAATATCATATCTAGATTTTGTATTTACCTTGTGATTACTCCTATCCCAGCCAGACATGATTCCCAAGGATTTAGGACTGGATATTTTCCCCCACAGGCTATATGACAACACTATTTTTAAAAATAAATCTTGAAATAATACCTGTTGCCTCACAGAACCAGAGAAACCTAAACAAACTGTCAAATGCATGCTCTGTTTCCATGCCTACCTCCTATGCTGGGAGGAGGAGGAGACTGGGAGGAAATAATGAAGAAGCCAAGCCCTGTGATACCCAATGTCTTTCTTATAATTACTTTTGCCCCCTAACCACTTGTCAAGGTCTTGTGTTTTTTTTTTCCCCTAGTCTAGAGAGTGTTTTCAGAAGATCTTAGAAATAAACCCTCAGCTGCAAACACAGGTGAAAGGTAAGAATGTTCCATGTCCTTCACTTGAATTCAACTTTCCCTTTGTGCTCTGGCCTTAGGCCACCTTCGGACCTTCTCTGCTCCTGGTTTTGCACTACCTGCCAGCCAGTTCTCTATGTTAAAAGGCTGCCCGGCGACTCTTTCCTCTGTTCTCTAATTCAAATCTTTGCCTTCCTCCTTTCCACACCATCCTCCTTTAGAGCCTTCTAGGCGGGAAATAATGTTGTTCTTGCATCCCCAAGATGTTTTAAGGTTCTGGGTACAGGTTGTACACTATTTCTAAAATTTTCCTTGCTGAAGATGAGTTTGAATTATTTTAATGCACTATGCCTCTCAACATCCCATCCTCAAAACGGTTACTCCTTGTATGCTAATGTTGATGTTAGGGTTTGGTTTGGTTTTCTCTTCTTCCTTGTTTTGCTAGGTTACCTGAATCAAGTAGATCTTCGGGAGAAAGCAGACCTTCAAGAGAAGGAAGCCCGTGAATTGCTGGATTCAGGAAAAACCACAGCCGTTACGACCAAGAATCTCTTGGAGACTCTTTCCAAGCCTGATCAGAACCCCTTGTTCTATGCAGGAGGCATTGAAATCCTGACTGAAATGATGAAGGACTGTAAGCCAGAGCTTACGTGTGTGAGCTTACACCTGTTGTTGGTGTAAAGGGGCAGAGTGTAGAGGTCTGCCCTCATGACAAAGACTCCTTTCCTTCCACAAATTTTGATTGAAAACCTACTATAATGTAGGTGGTAAAGGGGATGCATAAGAAAAATACCCCCACCCCAGCTACATCCTCTCCTCGGGGAATGCATGCACTCAACATATATGCAACAAACACCGCTCATGTACAATGTCACACAGAACACATACATAGTATGCACTCATTCCATGTGTACTTACATCACATACACACAAAATGTACACTCACATCATATCTACTTATTTACATATACACGCACACATCATGTACACATAACACATATCACACCATATCATATACTACACATATGCACCCCTCAACAGACTCCACACATCCTGAACATACCTACGCACCCTTTGCATATCCCACATATTCCCCATATATACCCCAAACACCCTGTACTACCCTTACAAATCTTCCCCAGCCGTAGGGGAGTGGAAGATGGAATTTTTGTAGGATAAACTTTTAAGGTTCGCCCCTGTTTCATTTAATGGTTGCTTAGGAAGTGTAAATAGTTTCAGAGAAAACATCAGCCCCTCCTGATAATGAGAGCCATACTGTCCTGTTACCAGTTCTTATAGGTATGGATAGCAGGGCTTAAACCATTTTGTGACTTAGCGACAGGATGTTATTTGTACAAATGGAGTCTCTGACTTCCCTTTATTGTACAATGGAGGGTGCTCACAACATTCCCTTCAATAGTTTCTTGGGAATTTTAGGCCTCTCTCTAGAGCCTGGAAACAGCTTCAAAATAAATATTTAAGAACAGATGGGTATGCCAGTCCTACCTGGAGGTTGAGCAGCTCCTGGAAATTTCAAAATGATGCATCATCAGATAACGCGTGGGGCCACCAGTCTCAGCTCTCGTTCTCGGAACAGGATGTCCCTCTCACTGGGGCACTGGGTGGCAGATGACAGCTGTAGGTTTCAGAATGTATAAAGGTATTTGTTTTTGCCCAAACTGTAATTTGGTGAATTGACATTTCATATCGGGCTCCTTGTTATCAGCTAGCTCTGTCACAGCTAGACGTCGGCTGGACAGTTCAGGAGTCTGATGTGGTTTTCTCTGAATTTGTTTCAGGCACAGAACGAACTTTATTCAGGACACAAAATGGATTCAATATCATCAGTGGGAATGAGGTCATAAGAAGGTAGGGCTGTTTGTAAAGATAGCCAGCATCAAAGCAAGGAAATAAAATGGTTTATCACGAAATCATACACTAATCACACAGACAGAGACTTCACTGGATGATACCACTGTCAGTCAACATTGGTGGCTCCTTGAAGAGTGCAGAGATGCTATTGAACTTTAAGCCTCAGGAAGTTTGAATTATGCCACAATTAACAACCACAGTGAGAAAAGGTCAGCAAAACTTCCCAGGGTTTCTTGCAAAGCACTTTGAAGTCAGAGAAATGGCAATTTTTGCTGGTTTCACATCAGTTGCTCTTTGTTCTCCTCTTTTGGAATTAGCTGATCATTTCAAGAAATGAAATCAGCTGGGTCTTGGCTGATCCCGTTTAAAATTTCATCTGAAGAAAAACCATATGACAGGAGGGTGTTTGCTGAATTTATTTTATTATTATTTTATTTTGTATTTCAGTTATTCTGGTGTAGTTCAGGACACTGCTGTGGGTTTGAGTCACCAGCACATGTTTGCATGCATGAAGAAGCCCATGAACCCAAGCGGGGTGCTGGCCAACCATTCACCAGCCCTGGTGCGGACCAATGCCCATGGTCCCAGGCTCACCACCCACCCCAGCACACAGCCTGGACTTCCTCAGCCTGCAGCCTTGTCCTGCAGCTCTCAGCTCAGTGCTTAGCAGTCCTTTGGTTCTGGTGACCTGTGGCTCTGGATTATAAAACTACTTTCTCAACCCTGCATTTTAGGATTCTGCCGGTAAAATAAAACCAACTGAAAAGATCAAGACTGATTTCTAGTTTTAATATTGTTCTCCCTTCTCCATTCTAGGTGCTTCTCCACAGCAGGAAAAGATGCCATGGAAGAGACCGTGTGTGTGTCTGTTCTCAGGCTCTGGCAAGCAGTGTGCAGCGGGAACGGTAAGCATAGATCGTCACCTTTCACCATCACTAATGTAATCTCGTGGGACTTCCATGACAGCCATGGTGGTTTCCCCGGAGGCTGGGCCCTGGAGAGGTGATATCTAGACCTTCCCTCAGAAAAAGCATAAGAATCAGAAACAAGACCTGCACTACACTTATGTCTCTGGCACCCTATAGCCGCCTTCCCCATGGCCAAGGTCACTGTCAACATAATGACATAATGAGTGGTCTCATCACCTGGGCATTTGCCTTGCTCTCTGCAGACTCATGACATCTGCTCATGTGTTGACAGTGGGGTGGCAGAGTTTTTCCTTTCCTGTCTGCCCAAAAATACTGGTTTTTTAATTATGATTATTATTATTATTTATTTTTTGCTGACTGCAGTACCCATTTTAGCATCATGACTTTACAATCATCTCTGCCAGCATCTTATGGCATTGATTAGTGTGTAATATTGGAATAGTGAAATGTTATAGGGATTTCATTTACCTTGTTAACTCTCAGCTTTTTACATATTAGCATCTTCTCGGGTTTACTAAGTTTTTGTTGTTTTTATCTTCACCTGAGGACATGCCCACTTATTCCACAGAGAGGGGAAGGAAGGGAAACAGAGAGGAAGGGAAACATCAGTGCAAGAAACAATAATCAGTTGCCTCTCATATGCACCCTGACCAGGGACCAAACCCTCAACACAGGCATCCGCCCTGACCAGAAATTGAACCCACAGTCCTTTAGTTCATGGGACAGTGCTCCAAACAACTGAGCCACACTGGCCAGGGCTGGGGTTTACTAAGTTTTTATAGAATCTAATCACTTCTATGACCTCAATGTAAATAAAAAACTGAACTATTTCCCTTATTTTTTTTTAAAAGTATATTTATAGGGAAATATCTGACATGGCACACAAAACACTGAAAATGAGAATAATGATTGCTGTGTCTCCTTTTCACAGGGCTCCTATGGGGAGCCAGAAATAGAGCTGGTGAGTGTAGTTTGTAAACTAGAAAATGCTAAATATGAGATAATATAATTTTTATATAGATATATATTTTATTGATTATGCTATTACAGTTGTCCCATTTTTTTCCTCCCCTTTATTCCCCTCTGCCTTGCACCCTCCCACCAGCATTCCCCCCAACCCTTAGTTCATGTCCATGGGTCATACATATAAGCTCTTTGGCTTCTCCATTTCCTATACTATTCTTAACTTCCCCCTGCCTATTTTGTACCTGCTATTTATGCTACTTATTCCCTGTACCTTTTCCCCTATTCTTCCCCCTCCTCCTCCCCTCTGATCTCCATTTCTATGATTCTGTTCCTGTTCTAATTGTTTTGCTTAGTTTCTTTCTGTTTTTGTTTTCTTAGGTTCAGTTATTCATAATTGTGCATTTAATGTCATTTTACTATTCATAGTTTTTGATCTTCTTTTTCTTAGATAAGTCCCTTTAACATTTCATATTATAAGGACTCAGTGATGAAGAACTCTTAATTTTACCTTATCTGGGAAGCACTTTATCTGAGCTTCCATTCTAAATGACAGCTTTGCTGGATAGAGTAATCCTGGATGTTGGTCCTTGCCTTTCATGACTTTGAATATGTTTTTTCAGCCCCTTTTTGCCTGCAAGGTTTCTTTTGAGAAATCAGTTGATAGTCTTATGGGAACTCCCTTGTAGGTAACTGTCTCCCTTTCTCCTTTGCAACTTTTATGATTCTCTCCTTATCTTTAATCTTGGGTGATGTAATTATGACGTGTCTTGGTGTGTTTCTCCTTGTATCCACCTTCTTTGGGACTCTGAGCTTTGTGGATCTCCTGGAAGTCTATTTCCTTCACCAGATTGGGGAAGTTCTCCTTCATTATTTTTTCAAGTAAGTTTTCGATTTCTTGCCCTTCCCTTTTTGGCACCCCTAGCATACATATGTTGGAACCTTTAAAGTTGTCCCAGAGGTTCCTAAGCCTCTCCTTATTTTCTTGAATTCTTTTTTCTTCATTCTGTTCTGGTTGAATGTTTATCTCTTCCTTCTGCTCCCAATCATTGATTTGAGTCCTAGTTTCCTTCCCTTCACTGTTAGTTCCCTGCATATTTTTCTTTATTTCACTTTGCATAGCCTTCACTTTTTCCTCTATTTTACGATCATACTCAACCAATTCAGTGAGAATCCAGATTACCAGTGTTTTGAACTGTGCATCTGACAGGTTGGCTGCCTGTTCATCTCTTAGTTCTATTTTTGGAGCTTTGATCTCTTCTTTCATTTGGGCCATATTTCTTTGTCTCAGTGCACCTGTTACACTGAGAGGAGCAGAGCCTTAGGCATTCATCAGGGTGGGGCAACCCAGGTCACTGCATTGTGATGCTATATATGGGGGAGGGGTCTGAGAGGGAACAATGCCTCCTGATTGGTTCTCAGATGGCTTTCAGTCACTTCCCCTGCTACCCACAAGCAAATTGGGCCCTTCTGGTGCTGATTCCCCTGGTGGGTGGGTTTGTGTACATTTTAGGACCCTGTGGGTCCTCCAGGAAACTTTCCTGTGAAGCTGAGAGCTTCCCCTACTTCCGCAACCCCTACAGGTTTTGATAGCCCAAGGTTTTGAGCTTTCTTTTCCCGCACTGGAACCCTGGATTGTGCGGTCTGTCTTGCTCCCCAGCTATTCTTCCCGGTTTATCCGTACACAAATGTGGAACCACCTGGTCTGCCAGCCACCGCCTCACCCCCTGGTACTCCAGCCCCTGCCTTGCTGTGCATCCTTTCCGCCCCTGCTACCCATCTCCGCCCCTCCTACCGGTCTGGAAGAATGTTTCTTCTTTAACTTATTGATTGTCGGACTCCATACATATGGAATTTCTGGAAGTTCTGGTTATTTTTAGTTTTCAGATTTGTTGTTGTCCTTCTTTTGGTTGCATGAGGAGACAAAGTGTATCTACCTATGCCTCCCTCTTGGCCAGAAGTCTGAGATAATATAATTGTTTTTCTTGATTAAGTAGAGTGGAGGAATCATCTTGAGTTCTAGAAAACTAGAAAATCAGAGGCTTCTTCCCTGAAGGGAATTATGCTCAAACTAGTATTATCAAGGTTCCCTGTTACTCTATAGAATTCTGCAGTATCCCAGGGTGGTGATTTTACAAATCCTCCCACAGAAGAGGGAGGGAGGCAGGGCTTGGTGATGGTGTGAATGGGATATACTATCCTTCTGTGCAGCCCTGACTTCCTCAGCTAGCATCCCACTTTGCTTTCTGTGAACTTTGGGGGTCACATTTTTCTTTAATATCTGAAAATATATTGTCAGACACAGCCTATGATGTAAATGCTCTATCTGAGATCAATGACATTTCTTACAACCAACTCAGTAAATACAAAGCATTTTTTAAAAAGGACAAGGGACTGCTGAAAAGTAAGGACATGGAAATATGTCCATGATATGTTGTTGAGTGGGAGAGACAAGCCAGGCACAGTGAAGGATGTATCATATTTTTTTTCAGCAATATATTCCTTTTTTTTTATTGTTTATACTATTACAGTTGTCCTCACTTTTTCTCCCTTTGCCCACCTCCACCCAGTCCCACCCTCTCCTCTTCCTCAGTCAATCCCCATATCATTGTCTGTGTCCATGGGTCATGCATAAATGTTCTTTGGTTAATCCTTTCACCATTTTTTATCCAGTACCCCTGCCTTCCATCTGGCAACTGTCATATTTTTAATGTTATTCATACAAGGGATGAATTATAGTTCCTGTCAGGATGAGCTTACTTAGAGGTGGTACAGGAGGCAGGGACTTTTATTTTCAGCTTTATTCTCCTTCTGTTACTTCAATTGTTTACGATGAGCTGCTTTTTTAGTATAAGAAAAAAATATGTAAACTCTGCTCTGTTTCATGGCTTAGCCTCACATTCAAGCTGTACCCCTGCCTGCTGTCAAACAGTTCACACACCTGCACCCAGGTGAGGGGATATATCCAATGCTACTCCCCTGGAAACAGCTTATAGTCTAGGAGGGGGCATGCTTTAGTAATGAATGTTCTCGGGGGACAGTCTAATTTTCCAGAAATATCTCGAATGTTTGCTCTGGCCATTATAGGAAATTTGATGGTCTAAAGATAATCCACAGTTCAGCTGATATCTCTCCCTTTCCTCGCATTTCCAGATACATAGAATAATAATAGCTAATGTATGCGTGTCAGTCCCTGCTGTAAGCACCATCCTGTAGTCACTCATTTAATCCTCATGACAACTCTGTTAGGTATGTCATTTTCCTCATTTTACTGATAGAGAAACAGAAGTGCACAGGAGTTAATAGAATGTCTACAGTCATCCACCTGGTCATTCAGACCTAGCAGTCTGGTTCTAGAGAGTCTACGCTCTTACACTTCATTATCCCACCTCTGAAACGAGTGGAGAAGAATTGGGCTGGTTTAATTGCTGTCATGATGTGCACAAGGTGAGCGATCCTCGTGTTTTCACAGAGGAGAACCAGCGCCTGCTTGTGACACGCCCTGACGCAGGCAGGCTGCTGCCCTCCCTCTTGGCCTCAGGGGTCCTGACCATCCAGCAGCAGAGTCTGGCCCTGCTGCTGCAGCTTGCCCAGATGGAGACCGGCCGGGGCCTGATCATCGGCCACCTCGACCTGACCCGGTAAGCCTCTGCAGGCAGGATCTCCCCGGCAGCATCTCAGAACATCACCTGCCAAGTTAAGACTGGCCTGTCTCCTTTCTCACATCTTTGGCACGAGAGGGTGGCATTAGACTTAATTAAGGATCAATAACAGACAGAGCCTTTAAAAGGAAAACTACCTCATGAGGACCTGCTGGACAGACTCCTGTCTGAACGTAGCACCACAGACAGTTTCATTTCTCCTGAGCGTGCTTCCATCTCACAGATACTACGGACAGTGTAAACACCAGCACTGCCAAAACCAGATCGGGAACCCAGCTTTCACATCGGTCATTTAATTCTGCCCTTTTCACCTCAGTCCAGGCTTGACCCTCTTCCTGTCCTTACTTTTCTTCTTTGTACTTGTTTGAGGTAATACTGTCTCATTTTGCGTATCCTTAAACCCTTTCTGGAACACTGTAGAATATAAATAAATAACACACATCTCAAACACTGTTACATGTAGATCTTCCCAAGGCTTAAGGCAATAAGAATAGAATGTGCTTCTCACCTAAGTAGCCTATTTTAATTCACCTAATTAATCACCTAATTTTAATTTTTTTAAATTACTGAACCAGAGTGATTTCTGCCTAGTGCTCTTAAGCCTAAAGATAATTAGTTTGAACATGCAAAATTGCCATTTTTTATACCAAAAAAGGTGCATGCCTGCAATTTCATGTAGTTTATTCAACCTAATAGAAACAGTAGCAATAATTATAGCTTACTTTGTAAGTGCTTCATACATAAGCTAAAAACAGGATTTGGCCTCTGATTCTTTGCATTATTATCTCATTTAATCTCTTCTCAGCCTGGTATGTAGGCAAGATAAGTGTTATTTCTCCATTTCACACAGGGGCAGGAGAGACTGCAGCAGGTAACAGAGGGCATTTCACCAGCTGCTCCAGGCCCCGAAGCCCAGCCCCCAGGCTCTGTTCCCAGTAAGACAAACAGCCAAATCTGACACCCTGTCAGTGGGACCTCCATCATCTGTCCAGTGTAGGCGGGGAGGTCCACTGTGTGCTAAGGACAGAGTGCTTGTTATGCCTTGGCCGTGGCTCTCCCCTGGCTCATGGTCCAGCCATAGCCCCAGCGGCTCATACAAAAGGCCGTGGCAACCCTCTGAAGCTCAGCCCATGCAGGCAGGTGGATCATTCATAGAGTTAAACCCTCAAAAGCACATTTCACCCTCAAATGGCTCTGCAATCATTTCCTCAGTACCTTCATCATGTGTTTTTTATTGGTTTTAGTCTCTAAGACTTTCATCATGTGTTTTTTATTGGTTTTGGTCTCTGAGTAAATGTAGCTATAGTTATCATAAGCTTTTTCCCCCTAAGCTATCTTTGAATTGCTTGAGTTTCAATTTAAATCTTTCCAGTGTCTTGGAGAGTGGCATTTATGATCATCCCATGAAGTCCTATCTACTCTCTTTAGACAGTCAAAAAAAAAAAACAACCCTCTTATCTTATTACTGTAATGCTTGCTATTCTTATTAACTTCTCTCCAGTTAAACTGGAAAGAAATGGAATGTGTTCTCTGAAATGAAATGAGATGATTTTAAGCAGGACAGGGCTGCACACAGGTCCCATGACCTCACAGAGAGGCGCATGCGTCACAGTTCTCCAAAAATCCTTTTCGCTGTATGATATGTTGAAGAAACAAGTGCAAACAAGGGCCAGTATCACCATGTGGAAAAAGCTAGGTTTTTAGATGCAGCAATCTTGAGCCCAAATCCTCTGCCTATCTCTGTCTAACAGACTTATGAGGAAGCTTAGAGGGGAAATACATGCATGCCAGTTAAACATCTTCCTTTTGCAGTCTACAGAACACTCAGCCCAAAGAAGCTGGGCTTGTTTTTCTCACATAACAGAGGAGACAAAAGATGACAACAGCTGGTTGAGTGGCTTGAAGATGTCAGAATCAAGGTTTCTGTCCCTCTTTGACCCTTCTCCCATGGTCACATGTACACGCATACCACTACCAAGCAAGTCCTCTACCAACCACACTGGGGACACACAGTCCTGCAGGGTAAAGTACACACTCTTCAGTAGGCCATAGAAGGCCCCTCATGACCCAGCCGGCTCTGTCCAGCTCTCTGGCCTTGCTGTTCCCTATCCTCTTCTCACCCGCTAAGCACTAGCTATAAGGAACTGCTAGTAGTCCCTAAGTATGCCCTGCTCTTTTATGCCCCATCATCTTTGTGACTCTGTGCGCTGTGCCTGAAATGTTCTGCCCTTGTCTCCATGTGCCTGACACTGGCCTGCCAGCTCCTTGGAGCTGGAAAGTTGTCTTTTTTCAACGTTGTAGCCCGAGAACCTACTACATTGCCTAGCGCATAGTCAGTGCTCAGTAAGTATTGCTGACTGACTGAATAAAGGAACCAAAAGCCAACAGTACACTCGAGTGACGGCTGAAATGTCTGCTCTTTGAAGCCTTCGTCCCCTCCATCCTCCCACACCTCCCACCAGGTGGACTCTGTGCCCTGTTTATACAAGTCAATTTCTAACATATCACCTCACACACATGTCGCTGTGGGAGACTAGGCACTTAGTGCTGTGTCCCACTACTGAGCACAGCACTATGCACACTGTAAGTGCTGAGAATGGGTCTGCTGGGTGGACAGGCGACTCTGACTTCATCCTGGTGCCAGTCTGCTGGGGCATCCTGAGATTGCATTAACTTGCTTTTTTCTTTTTTTTTTTTTATTTGGCAGCTCCACCAAACTATTTGCTCATAATGAGCTTCCAATTGCCTAATAACCCTTCAATCTTTTTCATATGAACCAGTTATAAAACAGGTCTTTCAATTCTGTAACTTAAAGAGAGTTTTCAGCTCTGAATGGAGGAGTTTGAGTATAACTATATTAAATTTCATCTGATATATTCAGCAGCCTATCAAAATCTTGTGAAATCTTTATTCTGTACCCCTCCCCCTCATCAGGGGTCCCTTCTACTTCAGTCATCAGCAGATGAGTAAGCATGCCATTTGGATGTCATTTATGTGATTGAACTTGGCCAAGCCAGAGTCACATGGTAGAAGCACCAGAGATTCCTTCCAAGTTGTCATCTGATAATCAGTGAACTTTGATTAAAACTGTTCAACCCCTGGGACTTCCAATTAGGTGGTAGAGCCATTCGTATAGGAGAGTGTCTGTCCCATTGGGATGGGCAAGGAGCTGGGCTTCCTTGGAGGGCATGGCAAGTCCACTCCTTCAGCTTATTTCACCCAACTCCTTCTTGGCCTCCTTGCAAGGTCTTGTTGGAAATGCTGTGAGTTGGAGGACAACCCACTTTAAGGTTGTTAATGTGTTTTTTGCAGATTGTTGGAAGCCCTGGTGTCATTTCTTGAATTCTCTGATAAGAAGGCCAACTCAGCCATGGGACTGCTCACAGACTTGGCTCTGGAAGAAGGGTAATTTTTATTTACAGAAATTGACATTTCTCCTTTAACCTTTGTTGAAGCATCACAAGATTCACTGAGTAGGAGAATTTGATGCCTTCCAGGGGGCTGTGGTTGGCCACCCCTGTTCCAGTCTTTCTGGGTTCAGGGGGATCCAATCCACAATGGGATTGGAGGCAGTAACGTAATTAAAACTGTACCTCTCACAGTACGCAAGCCTAAAATGTAGCTGCTTCCTGGGTTATCAGTGGCATGGGTGACCATCCTCCCCCTTTTGTGTGTGTGTGTGTGTGTGTGTGTGTGTGTGTGTGTGCGCGCGCGCGCACGCACACACGCTTAGCTGCTGGGGAACACAGTAAAGGTCTTACATTTTTCAAACTCTTAAGTGTCTTTTTTTATCAGTGCATTTTATTTATTTGTTAACTTCTTCACCAGCTTCAGGACATCTTGCTTAGAAATGATCATAAAGAAAGAGAGCTGCTTGTGCTCCTTAGCAGCCCTTTGCACCGGCTGGGAACGGACTAGCTGCTCTAGCGTGTAGAGGCGTGTATGTGTCCAGGTCCTCCTCCTGGCTGTGCTTGCACTGTGTTTCTTGTTGCACAGCACACAACATAGACTCAGAGTACGGGGAGGGCAAGGATGGTGGCAGATCAGTGTGGCGGAAACCTGCAGATTCCAGTTTTTCCCATAAAGGCAGCCATCTGAAGTCTGAGGTCTGCAGTTTAACGCCAAAGGCAATTCTTCAGGCTTAGAGAAATCAAGGCCACATTATCTACCTAAGGACATTCTCTTTTGTTTCAGAATGAGTCATCCAGGCATACTGCAAATCACAGGGGCCCAGAGCTTGTGAATGTTCACCCCATTACCTAAGACACTGGATTTATCTTATAGTTTGTACAATGTAGAAACAAGTCGTGGCTGATGTTTTCTCAACAGATTCCAAATCTGGTTCCAGGCCAACCTTCCAGGTGTTCTCCCAGCACTCACAGGCGTCCTGGTGAGCAAGTCCTCATTTTTTATCGTCTATGACAGACACTCTCAGAAGCACTAGCAGAGCCGTTTAGACACAATTTACACTCCAGAGCTCCTGTTGTCTCTCAGGTTCACTGTTTATTCACAGCTGCAATTTACAGAATTCTTAGTTATTAAAACAACCATAGTTGGGACAGGTGGAGATGACAGATGGACAGGGCTTATTACAGGACAGAAAAAACTGGAAGTGGATGCTGCATCTTAGGTGAAGGAGGAAAGAGTTTGTCAGTGTTCGTCAGTCCCCTTCTGACCCTAAGTCTTATCTAAATGCCATGTGCAGCCCTGTCCCCTGAATAAAAGTCATCAGGTCAGGAGGGCAAATATGGGGATTGAGCTGTTGAAGCAGAAAATAGCAAGGGGATGGGGGACCTCTCCTAGGAGAGCTGCTGCGACGACTCTCCCTCTCCCTAGTGAGCCACAGACATTTCAGGGACCTTAGCGTATCCACAGCCCAGTATTTCAGATGTGGAAATGGGAGCTCTGAGAATGGATGGGACTGCCCATGTTCTCCAAGCTGGTTGGTGGTAACCCTGGGACTGAGCCCTCAGTCTCTCTCTTCCAGGCCATGGTGCTTTGGGGTCTGCCCCTGTGTGCCTTCACCCTTTTGCCAGCACAGCCCTATTGATGCCCCGGTGTGACATTGTGCTCTCTGGTTTCCACGCATTTTGGTGAACAAGGGATGCCCCTGCAGATTATGCTGGCATCTTGTCCCTGTTCTCTGCACATTTGTTTTCTCTTGATTCACTTTTAGAAGAGAGACCCCAAGGTAACCAACACCTCAGCTCTCAGCCAGTGTATTGCCATCATGGGGAATCTCAGTGCTGAGGCTGCCACCCGAAGACAGATGTCTGCTTCTGAAGAATTTGGGGATGCCTGCTTGGCCCTCATGGTATTTTAGCATTTCTGCTTAAAGCTGTTTTTTATCTGCTTTGGAGCGTTGGCTTCATAATCATCTGGCTTTTCCAAAAACTCTGAGGGTACTGGACCCCGTGGCTTATCCCTTCTGTAACCACAGGTTTTATGGGTAGCTGGCCTTAACATGCCCTCCACGTCAGGGCTCATTCACACTGGAGAGGTGCAAGGGTTTTCCGTGGAGTTGGCCTGACCACCCGTCTGAGCAGCTCACTCTTCTGTTTAAACACAGAACCGGGTTGAACCACGGTCACATGACAGAGGCACAAGAAACTCCTTGAGAATCTCCTATACTAATGCTACCTTATGGACTGGCCTCCAATCTTCCAACAAGCACTTAGGCTCATGGCATGGACAGTTAGGGAGTTTGAGTAATGCTGAGACCATCGCCAGGGGTATGAGATGGCTTAAAAGCTACAAGGAAGAAGGGTCATGGGTTACCTTGTCTTGTTTCCAAAGGCCAGGTGTGAGGAGGATGTGGACCTGTTCAGAGATGTCATATATACACTCCTGGGACTCCTGATGAATTTGTGCCTTCAGTTCCCCTTTGTCTCGGAGGTATAGTATTCTTTTCTCCCTATCTGGAATCCTGGGGCAACCTAAACATATTCTGTAGCATAGAACTCTTCTCATTTTCACAAAGAGATGGAAGCCCATGGACTCCAACACTGGCAGTGGGAACGGGGAAAGCTGGGTGGATGCATTGTCACTTCGCTTCACTGAGGGACAGATGAGTCACTCGGTCAGGTATTCATTCAGAAAACTGAGTACTGAGTGTCCAGGAGGTGCTGAGCACCGTGCTAGGTCCTGCATTTACAAAGTCAAATAAAATGTGGTCCCGTCCTCAAGGTATTGCCCTGTAGTTAGGGGGAGCATACACCACAAGAGATAAGAGTGTTGGGGAATTGGAGGGAGTGGCCAGTTCTATTCGAGGTCTCAGTGGGAGCTCCGCAGAAGATCTAGAGTACCCAAACATTCAGGTCTCCTTCTCCCTGTGCCCACGGTTGCAGGTTTGGGCCATGGAGGTGAGCAGGAGGTGCATGTCTCTACTGAACAGCCAGGATGGAGGAATCCTCACAGTAAGTTTCTCCCAGGGAAATCCAGAAGCAATTTCCCTTGCTGCGCTCCTTTTGTTTTGTGTTAATATCAATTCATCTTACCCTTTTGAAATCATCATACCTTTGAGATTCTGCTGACTCTCTGAGATATAGGGAGGACATTACTCCACAGAATGAGGCCCATAATCACATAAACATCAAATTTGCCTACCGTTTCATGGGACTCAGTAACCCCCAACCATTCCTATCTGTAGAGCCCCCTGGAGTCCAGAAGCCCTTTTCTGTCTTGTCTGGAACTTGACAGCTTATACAGTGTGTCCTATCAGAGTTTTCCTGTTTCAGGATATCCTTGTGCAACTGGAACAGGCCACGTGACTTTATGTAGAATCCCTTTTTCCATAATCTACAAAACCAAACTCATACTTTAAGCCAGCGATCCCAGAGGTTGTTTATGCGTAATGGTTTTCGCCCTCTTGGAGACATATGCTGGAATGGCTGTTATAACTTCTATTTCTGACATTTGGATAGGAAGACTGAGAAGGCCGATGATTAGCAGAGTGCATCAGGAGAATATTAATATGGTTCAAGAAGCTATTTGCCATCATCCTAGGATGTGTTACAAACTCACATCAGGAATCGCCCCAACTTTTTCATTTACTAGGTCAGGACCCTAAAGCCTAGAAAAACAATTAGGGTCACATCCGGGGCAATTCTGGGAAGCCAGCCCTTCAAAGATCATAGGATTATAGTAAAGATTCTGATTCAATATATCCTGTTTGAAGTTAGCATGCCCAACTTCCCTGAAGTCAATTCAGACACTGTAGGGTGAGGGTTTTAACCTGAAACCTGGGCTCCAAGAATGTGTGGTAGGTTTTCAGTTCCTTGGAACGCCCTGCAGTTGTAGAAAATTCTTAGTGTATGTGTATTTTCATGGGTGAGGGGCAATATAGCTTTCATCAGATCCTCAAAAAAGATCTGTGATCCCACCAGTGATGAGCACCATTGTTCTTGGGTAGTTGGGGCTTTTCTGGATGGTCTAAACCTAAAGCTAGGCCAATACTAATTATATGCTAACCCTTCAAGGGCTTACTTGGCCAGAGTTTCCCAGGACTCTGCATGTGCGCAGCTGGGTGCTGGCTAGTGTGTCAAACAGTGCAGCAGGTGCCAAGGGGAATTAGGTCCTTCCTTAGGTGCTCTCTCTACTGTCTTGGGCCTGGAAGGGAGCTGTACTGTCAACTGTAGCAATGTTCTAGCACCCTTGGTAAGCAGATTAGGGAAACAAGATTGATAATATGTCAATACACAAGTTTATGCCTTCTCCCCCTGGAGACCTGATTAAAATGAGGCTAAAGGCATTGCAGAGGGATAGTAGGGCCCCACATTGACAAAGTGAACAAGCAAAAGGACAGCAATGGGTCAGTAGTTTCTGGAGGATGGAACACTGCTGCCAGAGAGGTAATTAATTAGAGCTGGAGGAACCGTAGCATAGAGCACAGATTAAGGGGAACACAGCTGGGAAGGTAGTAGGTTTGTCTTGTAGTACCCCAGAGAAGATCAAAACTTCAAAATACCAGGTGTGACAGAGGACAGAAGTACAAGATGAGGGGATTGCACTCAGCAGCCAGGCATCCATCCCACGGGCATGAGATCTGAGCACTTTTCTTCTAAGGAACTGAAAGACCAGAGAGAAAATTTTTGCTGTCTAGTATTTGGGAGTGCTACCTTTCCACCTGCTCAATGACAGACTCCCTATAAACACAGCATGCTGAGACATATTTTTATTGCTTTTTTCATAAATGTGACTGGACAGCTAAGGGTCACTAGACATTTCAGGAAAGCTGTACACATAAACAGAAAAACCAAGATAAACAGAAAAAAATTACTCTAAAATAATAGAGATGATTTAGGAAATAGGAAAAAATTAATAACTATTATATATAATATATAATAACTATTATGTGTATATATACATAATAATATAATAACTATTATGTGTGTGTATATATGTGTGTGTGTATGTATGTGTATATATATATATATATCTCCTTAGAAAAATTCAAAGTAGTATTACGGCCAAACTGTATTAACAGCTTGCTGTTTAAAAAAATTAGAACTGGAAGTCTCCCAGAAAATAGACAAAGATTCAGAACAGATAAAGGAAAAGCTAGAAGACCCAGAGGATCAATCAAGGAAGTCTGCCCTCTAATTAGAGTCCCGATGCCATCAGTGCAGAGTTTCTAGGGCAGTACTTTCTTGCCCAGAGGTGAACGGGTTGGCCCTGGGTAAAGCTGAAGTGAGCTGGGCATCTGTGTGCTGAGGGCTGTCTATTATTGGCCATTATGTATTTTTAAAATCAGGGTGCATATTTTGCTTCCAATATTAATGATTGTCTTTACCTTGCCCCTCTTAACTTTTAAAGGTCTTCAGCATATCTGAAAAGACCTAACTCACCCTTTACTTTCTGCTTCTCTCAGAGGGCTGCGGGTGTTCTCAGCCGCACCCTTTCTTCCTCTCTGAAAATTGTCAAGGAGGCCCTAAGAGCAGGCGTGGTGAAGAAGATGATTAAATTCCTGAAGGTAAAATAACGCCATTGGTTACATACAACCTCTGGAATTTCCAGAAACATTTTATTTGGGGAACAGAATTGAGGTGTTGCTATTTCACCCCTGCTAGATTTTAGACTTGAATGGGAATTCTCTTCTGCCTGTCTTCCCAGACTGTGCTCTGAACATCAACAAAAGATTGTTGAATAAATAAGTAAACTATTCATTAGATACATCCATAAAAACTGCTCACCGTTTAAGCCTAACTTAAAAATGTATGGACTGTGCCCTGAAAATGATGGTCTGAGTAACTTCCAACCAGGTTTCTCAGGCCTCTTATTTTGCTCATTTTCCCACTTGTGATGCTTTATCCAGTTATCTAGAGAGTGTTGGCTGTAACTCCACTTACGGGATATGTAGGGTGCAGTGACCATGTGACAAAAGGGTGTTCAGATTTTCCTTCCGATATGAGTGCAGTGAATCTAATCAAGTAGGTACAACAGTTAACTAGACTCACAAGAAAGGGCACGGTGACTTATTCAGCTGCCCATGGTATAGATGCCCAGTGAGTTGATTCACCCATATTAGGCTTGTGAGCCCATGGAAGACTTATTCATAAAACTCCAGGCTTTGTGGGACCAGGAAGCATGTTCTATTGTGGGGCTGGGGCCGGGGCTGCTGCTGAGTCACGGGCAATACGGAGAGGGCAGGATAGTGAGCGTGAGTTTAGGCTGCTACTTGGATGATGACCGTCACTCACCCTGTACAACTCTCACAAACCTGACAGAGGCAGCTGATTGTGTACACACACACGTGCACTTGAAAGACCTGGCATTGGGTGATTTTAAGGGTTATGATTTGATAGTTGTCACCTCTTAAAGTCATCTAGGTTCACGAAGGTCTCCGCGCAGGCCTGACAGCCTGACAGCCTTGGCAAGTCAGCCCTCCTTCTCTAATGGTGAAATGAGCTGAGGGCCTACCCTTACTTTTTGGTAGATCTGTCAGTCGACAGCATCTTGCTCTTCTCAGCCACTCTCCTAAAGCCTCCCACAGGTGATTAATTACTCAGGTGTACATGACAGGCCTCCATTCATACTGGCTGTGGGTCGTGTTAGAGAGGATGTGAGTGACACTCCCCCCAGCAGAGACCTGGCCTGCTCCTCGGGAGGCACACACCGTTCTCAGTGGGACTCTGGTTTAGAAGTTTAGGAAGCCACAAGCATAATCCCAGCTGCTCACTGCAGTTTCCGGCCAAGAACAATCATAGGATTGATTGTATTTTTCTTATTTCATTCACTCTCTAGGCAGGAGGCCAGACTGCATCACACTATGCCGTGAAGACTCTAGCTGTCTGCACTAATAGTTTTCATGAAGCACGAGAGGAAGTGATAAGACTGGATAAAAGTAAGTGACACTTTCATTAAGCAGAGCCCACATCGCAGAGGTTAAGCCATCCTTGAAGCTGCAAAGGGAACTGCTGGTGAGCAGTGAGGGGAGATTTAGCAAAATGTCACGAACCTTGCCTAGACTTCAGCAGTGTTTACAATGTAAGATGTCATTTCACCTCCATCTCTGAAAGCATTCGGTTAGCCTTCGGCTGTGCGCAAGTAGCGGGCCCAGGCTGGAGACCGAGCTGCAGAGCAGTTCCCGGGTAACAGGGTGGAAGCTGGGAGCTACCTTCTCTCACCAAGTTAAATTAAAATTGTTGCTGAAGCATTCTGCTTTGACTGACCTAACATGGGTTCTCTTCTTTCATCCAGGAAAGGGGCAAAACCAGCTTCAACTTTTGGTGAACAAGGAGAATAATCAGAGCCTGAGCTAGCTTTAGCCTAGTAACTGAAATCGGCTGCAGTCATTGGTGGCAGGGTCCCCAGCCGAGGCAGCCTGCTGATGTTCTCCGTAACACCCCCTCTGGAATGCACGGGAAGGGAACTGAGTGGGGCCTCCGTGCAGGCAGGAGTCTTTCTTCTGGGCCCTGTTGCTTGCCCTGCAGTCCAGGCTTCCCACTCAGGGGCTGTCAGGTGGAGAGTAGAGGTTAAGACCAAGGACTTTAGAGAAGACAGACCTGCTTCCACGCAGCATTCATCCACACACCATCTGTGTTATCCCGGGCACTGCCCTAGACTCCGCGGTAAATCAGAGACACAGCAGGGGACTGGTAGCACTCAGTAAGTTTTTGCTGAATGAGGGAGTGTCATGCCCTTTCTCAGAGCTCCTGGGGCAGCTCAGCATCCACTGACACCTCCTTGCATTTCTCATGTCCCTTTGCCAACCTCCTGTTTGGAGTTTGGAAGGACCGATGCATATTCTCCCTCCCTCCCTGCAGAGTTCAGTGTTCTGATGACACTGCTTAGCTCGGAGGATGAGATTCTGGTGGGCAACGCCGCCCTCTGCCTGGGGAACTGCATGGAGGTGCCGCAGGCCGCGTCCTCCCTGCTGAAGACAGACATTGTGCCGGTCTTGTTGAAGCTCGCAGGTAGTGATGCGCAGAAGACAGCCGTGCAGCTGAATGCAGGGATCGCTCTGGGGAAGCTGTGCACAGCCGAGCCGAGGTACGCTGGAGTGGCCTTCTTGGTCACATTTCAGAATGAGCAAGCCAGGGCCAGCCAGCATGTTGTGATGTGGCTGGGACTGTGCCCCACAGAACCCCGTGGGGAGCCCTGGGAGCCCTGGCGCCTTCCACGCAGACAGGTGTTGGGCCCCAGTAGCTGCCTCTTGGGAGGAAGACTTCCCTGAGGGAACCAGGGAGCCCTCAGGCGCCACCCAAGAGGGAAGACTTTTACCTGACAAGGATTTGCTCCATGGGCGCACTGCCATTGTCTTCTCTCCATTCCACTTCCTCATTCTCCATCCTTCTTTCCTCCTCTTTCGCTTCCTCCCTCCCTTTCCTCTCACACCATCTCTCCTCTACTTTTCCAGAAAAAGTTAGACCTCTCACTTCATTTTTGTTTTGCCCAGGGCCTAAGCCTATGAAAAAATGCCCAGGGAAAGTAACATTCTCATGCTGGAGAAAACTAAAATGAGAGGTAGACAAGCCAGGACAAGATACCTCTGCTTTAACTGTGTACATTGCTTCTCTTTGGCTCATACTTCTGTTCTGCTCAGGTCCTGTTCTGATGCACTTAAGTACCTAGTCATTTGTGTTCCTGGAAGGTGCCCACCTAGGGCTGTGTGATGGAGGCCCGGCATAGATGGGGTGGCTTCCTGGGCAGGGAGCATCCCTGGCCGGCCTGGTTCCTTCCTTCACAACCTTGTGCCTCGGACTCCTTCTCTGTAGAATGAGAGGCTTGGCCTGGATAACATCTACAGTGCTTTCAAGTTCTGTGTGATTGTTCAAATGAAAGGAATGGATAAAGTCTGTCTTCTACAGAAAGTAGGGCACTTTGCTTGCATGAACTCAAATTGGCAGCCTGCTGGGAAGTTTTCGTGCGTAAGGAGCCATCAGGTCAGCCTGTCACAACTGCCGCTCATAGCATAGTGTTAACGGTGTCTTCTGGGCCTCCCTGAGGGCCCCCAGGGCCACAGCCAGGTCTACCTGAGGGTGGACGGCTGTGGCCACCAGGCCTGCACACATATGTCCTGAAACTTGTATTCTGATTATGACAGGTTTGCTGCTCAACTGAGAGAGCTTCATGGGCTAGAAATTCTCAACTCAACCGTGAAGTACATCAAGGATTCTTGAGAGACGTGGTGTCTGTGCAAACACATGACTGTGTGCTTTGGGCGGTTCCTGTGCTAATAAAGACTTTTTAAAACATCCACTCCTAACTGCATATTGATTTTCAGAGTACTGGCCTATTGTTGCTTTTCATTGATAACAAGAGTGGTCATCAGACTGGCTCCCATGGTGGGGAACTGCGTTGGCCTGCTCAGCGTTCATCACACCCTCCTTGTAATGTCCCTTCTGATCTGCAGTGGCTGGACTCCAGTGAACATAAGGCCACGTGTCCCAGACCCCCTTGGAAGCAACACTTCTGGAAGGGAACTATGTTCTGGCAACCTAATTCCCTTCCTTCCCCTTTTGCTGCTTTCTGCTGGCAACATGATAGAAACACCAGGCTTTCAACGACAACATTTCAGCACCTGTTTTCCAGCTCTGGAGAGTAAGAGAGAGCTGCAGAGGCGTCCGTGGTGGCAGCCTCCTGAGGCCTGGCCTGGCCCTGTGGCACATGCTCTTGAATTCAGTGCGTCCAACAGTGGGCAGTGGCTCCCTGCCCCTCACCCCGCCCCCGCAGGGAGGCCTGTGCAGTCTGAGGAATCACTCCTGGAAGAGCCGCCTGGTGCTCTCCTCCCGCCCATGTAATGTGATCACCGCGTTCTGTGTGTGAGGGGGATCTGTTTCTGCACTGAACTCTTACAAATCCATTTATTTCCCTAACCCACCTTGCATTCTCGCTTGTGCCCAAAAGGCTCTGCTCCCTTGCACTTGCCCCAGGTCCATTCTCAGACTGTCAGGGCCACATCTGGATCCCAAGTCCCTAAGTGAAAAGTCCAGTAAGTGACATGACTCTTCCACTTCACAGTACACTGGTACCTGACCATTTTAGGGGAGGAGGCAGGACCTGTATGGTACAGTGAATGCCAAGAGTCTCAGACCAAAGTTCCAAAGACTGACATTCCTACCCTGCTACCTGCCAGCTCTGTGACTTTGGACAACTCACTTAACCTCTGAGTTTTGGTAGCTACTCGTGGATAAGCTAGAATAATACTCGTCCAACCTGTCTCCTGCATTGCTATGAAGATTAAATGACATTTTAGAGGTAAAGGTGCTTTGGGAATTACAAAGTGCTACACAAATATATCTTGGTATATTTGAAGTTGAAGGAGGTGACCGGTATCAGGTGGGTTAAATTTGGGGGGCCTGGGAAGGGATAAAACATGATCTTTAAGGAATCAGAGCTGGACAATTTCTGGACCACGTAAGAAAAGAAATCCTCCTTCTAGGAGATTTTGTTCGTCGCACGCAAAGAAATGGTTTTTCACAAGTGAGGTAGCTATTAGCTTATATTAAGAACTTTCGCTCCTGAAACCAAGATAGATAACTGGCGCTCTGGGGAGCTGGAATCCAGAGCCCTGAGACCCTCACTGTGGGATCCGCGCACCATGTGGGGCTGCAGTAAGCTCACTGGGGTACTTTGTGATGTGCCATCGCACTGTCCCTGGGTGGCAGGCAAAGGGCAGGCCACAGTAAAGAGGCCAGGGCCTGCCCGCTTAATCCCATCCTGCAAACATAGACACCTCAAGAGGTTATTTAATTGCAAAGGGAGATGGCTGGATGCTAAACAGAGCACAGAGAAGAAAATTAGAGGCTACAAAACTGGCTGTTTTCAGAGAGAATTCAGTGGAGCTTTAAAAATGGGAAAGGCTGCCTGTGTACATAACCGGCAGGCGTGTCTCCTCTGATTTGAAGTTCAGGCCCCTTCTCCTCCCGTCTTCAGCTGCACTCCTCCTCCCTGACTCTTGAAAATGGCTATTAGATGTGGGATCTCTTCCCCAAAGAGGAGGGAATGTCAAATTGCACCATTATCTTTGTTTCTGAGTGCCTGCCGAAAGGAGTAATCTCTGCTTCAGAGGAGGGCCTGGCTGCACCCAAGGAGCTCCCTCCTCTCACAGGTGGATAGACGTTGTATATCCCGGTGTTCTCAACTCCTCCAGTGCAGGGCCAGCCCTCCTACATCTTGTCACCTCTAACACGTGCTACCACACAGGGCTCCCAGGCAGCACGGCAGACACCCATTTACAGAGTGAAGACTGGGCTCACCTCTTCGCACAGGGAGCTACTAGCACTCTCCTTCCCACCCTCAGGGTCACAGCTTATTGCAGCAAAGCTGTCTGTGGTTCCACAAGCAAAGAAGTTGAGATTGCCTGTCCTGAGGAGAATGTGACCACATGGCACTTAATAACCAACTTGCAGAGTTGTTAGATAACGATCATAACCAGCTGTTCTAGACAATGTGATGATGGCAGTTCTAGACGGTAGCAAGGCAGGACTGAGGGTAACTGTTGGGAGGAAATACCAGGAAGGGGCAAGACATGCTACACTAGGTCAGGATGCGACTGTAAGCACTTTTCCAAGGCTCTGTGAGGACAAGAACTTGGCTGGGTGAACTGAGCGAAGATCCAGAGGCCAGATGATAATCCTCCACACCTTTTTTTTTTTTTTTTTAGCAAAAGATCCCATTTTCTGAATGCCATGAGAATACAGACTCTCCAGAGGGCTCAGCAATTTACTTCCTGATCTGATTCACTTCCTTCCCCTTGGGCCTGCCACTCGAGGGCCTTTAGAGAGAGTAGTCCTGCCCACTCTTCACAAAGACCCTGGGAAGTGTCATCTCCACTTTATAAGCAAGGAACTAGGATACAAAGACACAAAGATAATACATACTTCTTACCCAGGGTTGCATAGCCTATAAGTAGGGAATGCAGAATTTGATCCCAGCCTGTGTTTGTAAATTCTGCATGTAAAACCTTCTTCCACTTACTAAATATGTCATAAGGAAAAGTTTATTTCCCTGAGCCTCAGTTCCCTTTCTTAGAAAGTGGAAGCCAATACTCCCTACCTATGGAGTTCCGTGGGTTGGATATAATGTATATAAAGCTCCTGGAATAGGTGACTGAAAAACTAGAAGGCATTTACTTAGTAGTGGCTATTATTTTTAGGCAAGAAATTACCATAACTCATTACCTCTGCCCTCCCACCCTCACGGGTCTGCCTATCTTACGTATTTCATCTTTACAAAGACAAGCAGTTATTTGCCTGTTCTGTTTACCTTTTCATCTCTCCTGTGCCTGGTGGCAATCATGAAGGTGCCTCAAGACCCAGATGCCTGCCTGCCAGCGGCCTTTCTTCTCATATTCCCTCCAAGGTGCCAGGCTTGAGCAAGTTGGGGTTCTGAGCACCCCCAGGGCTTACCAATGCGGTGGCCATGCTCCTGGCCAGGAGCCTCGGGACTTGAGTGCTGCATTTACATCAGCAAAACCTAGTGTGCAGTGGACTGGGAGTCCCGATGCAGGAAGAGCTAAGTAGTTACTAAGATCAATGCCCCAAAGCCCCCTCCCCAAATAGAGATTCTCCCATCATTTGCTATTTGTCCTCAATTTAAAATCAGGAAGACCTGTTGATTCCACGGACAGCATTTCCAAGTACACATACATCAAGATATCTTTAGTTCTTTCCTCATCAGACCGCAGAGGCAGGAGGTCCTCCTCCCACCAGCGGCCTGGAAAGGAGGCATGGGTAACAGCAAGACTGATAGCCGACCCGCACTTCATCACCCCAGGCAGCCCCGAGTCCTGCTGCTGTGTGCCAGGAGAGCACTGGGCTTCTGTGTTTTGAAGCCTGCCAGATGACTTTTTTTTTTTTTTTAAAGAAGCCTTTTTATTTCATCTCAATTTCAAAACAGCAAAACAAAGAATGTGTTCTCCCTGGGTCTGATAGTACCATGGGGCCAAGATCAGATTCTCCTGGGAGCTCTCAGGCTCAGCCCTGATGGAGAGTAGAGAGGGGCCCTTGGCTGTCAGCTCAGCAGTGAGAGCAGGCTGCTGATTTGCCATGACAGCCACCCCCAGTCCCAGATCTTCCCAGGTCTGGATAGGGCTCCTATCACCCTGGGTTAAAAGGAGGCCCTCCATGTGATTGTGGCTGTCTGCCAGATGCACCGATTCAGCTCGGCCTGAGCATCTCTCTCCTTGTCACGTGTCTGTCTCCAGCTTCACATTTGTGCTTTTAATCTTCAGCAGCTCCCTCTGCCGATTTAGATCCTCATTTGATCAACGAGTCCACACAGACACACGCATGCACTTACAAGCTTCATCCCTCTGCAGCCAAGAAACAAATTTCCACACAAAAATGGGTGAGTTCATGTGCAATGGGGATTTAGGCTACATCAAAGCACAGAAAGATAATGAGAAATATTGGAATGGGTTGGTAAGGAAAAAGGCTTCTAAAATGTCCAAAATGAAAATAATTTAGGGACCATCTAATTCAGCATCTATTTTATTGGAATCCACCTGATTTTACTTGCTAAATATAGTGCAATGCTCAAAAATACAAATAAGGAAATCAAGACTCTGAAAGGCCAGGTGAGCTGTCCTCCATGTGGCAAAACCCTCTGGATCAAGGGGGCAGAGAAGAATGGGACTCAAGGCAGCCACTGGGAAGCAGAAACTGCAGTGGCAGACTCAGGCAGATGTCCTGACACCTGGGCTCACAGCCCAGCTCCACCTCTTCTATCACTGAGCCCCGCAATTGTCTTGTCTATATAAGGTGGGGGTGGGAAGGATAATACCTACTTCATGAGTTTGTCATAAAGATCAAATGAAATGATTTCTGTAAAGCTCTCAGCATCCTTCTGGGCACACACTAGGCCTCAGGAAATGTAGCTTACAATGTTGTTGTCATTACACTGGAGTCCATTTCTTCCACTGGTGCCCCATGGTGGGACATTCATGTGTGTTCTTTTCCCAAGTTCTTTAAAATGAGGATTTTTAAATCAGAATTAGAAAGGTCTGACTTTGCCAGAGGGTGGGGGATAGAGAAGTGGGCTTCCAAGTTCGGTACGCTCCGGATGCGGACTGGCCAGCAGAAACAGAGGGCTGGCCTGGGGAGTATGGCTGGGAGCCCAGGTGTGGTGGGGCCATGCACAGGAAGGCATGAAGGACTGAGACCCACACTTAGTGGGATTAGACTCTGCTGAATGTAGCCCTATATTATCAATATCGGGGGAAGTAAGAAACAGACAGGC